CAGCATCTCAATTCTCAAAGAACACATTCTCTGCCCTCGCGGTCTCCTGAGTTCGTTCTTCCGAGGACACCTGGCAAGACCGCTCTCCAGAAGAACACAAGTCCATTCTCTGCGTTCTTGGAATTGAGAAGCAACCCGAGTTTGGGCAACCCTGGCCTAGTTAATGCTTGATTGGCTACGTGTGTCTGATTGAGATTAGAGCTAAAATCTGCAGGACACAGGACCTCCAAGACCAAGATTGAGAACCCCTGCCCTAAACCCTTGAGCACTTGGGAAATACACTGTTGTGACGTCACAATCACATTGCATTTTTGGACATATAGGTGTTGGAGTAGACAAATGAATCAGACCTGCTCCTTTTGTCAAAATCTAGGCATCAAGGGTATGTCCATGTGAGCTTACCTTGTTCATTTAATAGAGTGGAATGAACTTCAAAATGGCATTGGAGATTCCCTGAGGAAACAAGGGAAGAGAAGTTTGCGAGTGGGCTGAACACAGACTGGGTATACTTGAAACTTTAGGCAGGTTTGTAATACTGGTGATACACAAGGCAATTTTTTGGGCAATATTGCTTGGCTGTTTTTCTAATAAGAATGGGCGACAGTAATGTATCTGTAGCTAATTTGCCTAAGTAGTCATCTGGTTGCTCATTTATGGCATTATTTTGCAAAGTTTCCCAGCAACATCGTTTAAAAAGTTGCCTTGTGTATTATCAACATTAAGGAGCTAAATGTTGTTGAACTAATCTCTGCAGGGAACCCAGCCATCTAGGACCAAACTTGGTGACCCTTGATTTAGGCATATCATCACTGTTACCAAATTTAAATTGAGTATATTTAACAAGAAAATACTACTTTGGACTTTATCTGCTTCAACCTTCCACAAAGAAGTCAACAGAGAAGTTCACATGCATGTTTAATCAGACATTACAGATACAGTGCATTTGTCACTAGAGGCCGCCAATGGACTGTATTATCAGTCATTGTTGTAGGGCTTGTTTTTGTCAAATCTCGCTGTTTTAGCCTAGTCTTAGCACCAACCTGAACTGATCTGTGGTTTTTAAGGGCGGTGCAGAGTGAAACAGGCATATAATGGCACATGGGGGCTTCAGAGTCAGCACTGGGTATTTTTGATGGAATTGGTTTGATATTTTTGGAGTCTTATGCACACAAACACATTTGAATAGTTTGTTGTGTTGTAAAATAAATGTAAAAGTCCATATAGAACCATAGAAAGTAACAAGTAAATGGGAACTCAATGCATTAACAATGTAAGGAAAGTAGGTAATATCTCATGATCCAGCAGAAAGTGATGTGGAGTGTGTTGAGTGAGGAATACAAAAACGGGTAGTCACAAGAAACACATTGAATCTCATATTAATGTTGAGTAATGCTGCTAAATTGCATCATATGTAGCTGACGCTAGTATTTTACTGAATGTAATACGCTGCTGACTCAAACTGATTTACTGAATTATCCACTGCAGCACTGTCCCCTGTGTAACCTTTTTTTAGAGAAATGAAACCCTTGAGTTCAGTTGGACAAAAACTGCTAAACTAACATAGACTTGTCATAGCATCTCTATATTACTGCTCTCTGGGGATCAGAAGTGCTTATTTTATCCATATTTGTAAGTCGTTTTGGATTAAATTGTCTGCTAAATGAATACAAGTAAACAATTTCAAGATCTTTATATATTATTAGTGGCAACCTGGTGCGTCCAAATTCTAAGGTGGTGTGCTGTGGTCACAGTGGCGTGAGGCCCCCCTGCAGGGATCGCTGACGGGGCCCCCTGATGAGGGGGGGAGGGTAATACGTCATACGTCAATTTGCATATCACTGACGTCATTATGTTCTACCGTTTCTGTTTAACAGCCTATGGTTAATAAAGGGGTATTTATAATTGCACTACACTTTATATAAGCATGTTTATTTAACTAAATTTATTGCTGTTTGAATACAGTATGTCATTATAGATATGTAGTGAATGTGCAGTAATCTCTCATATGAAATAAACTCAGACAAGTTCAGAAACTGTCACTAAAATATCTGTGATTGTGAACAAGAAAAGAAAAAACAGTCCAATTAAAATGTTAAAATAAAGTAGAAGCAGATCGGTTTGACTGTACAAGGGAAATACCTTCACACTGCCTGTGCTAAATCATTTGTCGTCGGTACGCAGAGGGGTGATCTGCTCTCGGGCTGCAGGTGGGAGAGGCTGCTGTACGAGGACTGACTGGGCCGCCTGTCAGTGCTGTGAGGCGGGGGAGGGGCCGGCGGCATCACACGCAGCTCGTTGAGAAGAGTAGGGACGGTACAGTATGGACAAATGACAGTCTAAAAAAAATCTCCAATAACACACAAAAAAGTCGCTAGATTTGTCGCTAGGGGGGTCTGAAAAGTTGCTAAATGTAGTGACAAAGTCGCTAAGTTGGCAACATTGGCGGCAAGCAATCAGAATGAAGTAGTCCACCGCTTGAGAGGTGTTCAGAGAACACAGACCTGTGAACTTTGGTTCCGACCACAGTTGTTCCCTAGAGTTTATTAAAAATCGCGACGACGCGGGGCCCCCTAATCACGCGGGGCCCCGCCCGCGGTGCGTGCCCTGCGGGCCCGTCCGCTACGCCACTGTGTGGTCACAAATTCATAGATTGCGAATTGTGTATTATTTAGATTTTAGAGAATGCATCGTGATTCTCTTTGGAATCAATTTTAATATTTGGAATTTGATATTTTGAATTAGCTAATCAGCAGATAGCGTTCTAGACTGGTTTTAAACAGCAGACTATGCTCTAGGCTAGTTTTAAACAGCAGAGGGCGCTCTTGGCTTGTTTTAGACAGCAGGCAGCTCACTAGGCTAGTTTTAAATAGCAGATGATGCTCTAGGCTAGTCTTAAACAACAGATGTCACTCTAGGCTAGTTTTAAACAGCAGAGGGCGCTCTTGGCTAGTTTCAAACAGCAGCCGTTCCTCTAGGCTAGTTTTAAACCTCAGATGTCACTCTAGGCTAGTTTTAAACAGCAGAGGGCGCTCTTGGCTAGTTTCAAACAGCAGCCGTTCCTCTACGCTAGTTTTAAACAGTAGATGGTGCTCTAGGCTAGTTTTAAATAGCAGACTGCGCTCTAGGCTAGTTTTTAACAGCAAATCGAGCTCTAGGATTGTTTTAACAGCAGAAGACGATCTAGGCTTGTTTTAGCAGCAGATGGCCCTCTAGGCCAGGGGTTCGAAGGGCGTACTCGCACTATGTTTAGTTGCCATAAACTGGACCAAAGCACTCTTGTCCACCCTCCCGTCTTTTGGTTTGCTGAAGGTGCAGCTGTCGTGCAGTAAGGGGTTTGCGTCTTTAATAAACTAACATAGTTTATTTATTTATTGATAAATCCATATTAAACAGTCCCTTAAAAGTCACATATCCCTTTTAGTTTCGGACTCAGGCACGTTTTGCACTTACACACAAGCCTACTGCGCCAAAGCCCAAGTGAAACGCGCTCTGGCACACCTCTTCCAACCGAGCCTGGGCTGGCTAAGTGAACCGTGCCTGAGCCCGAGCACTCGCACTTCTCAAACGATCCGGGAAACAGGCCTGGGCATGGTTTGGATAGCATAGTGTGAGTACGCCCTCAATCTCTGTCCTAGTTTTCTGGTGTCCTGCAGATTTTAAACAGAGAAGTTCATTCACAGGCGCGCGCCCACCCTCTCTGTGGTCAGCTCACAGTCAGCAGCTCACGTCAGAGATATCGCGGCCGCGAAGACATCATTACATAAAGACAGAAATGGCATTTTTGCATGAATTATACCTGATAAATACAGTATGTGACTCTTTCAACACCATTGGTGTTCACGTTGCTAAACAAGACATGTAAAACAATGTGAAGACTTGTGCAGTTGCCTTTTCTTCTCTCCTGAACTTAAAAATTTGATTGGCAGAATCGTAGAAATGCTGGATTAAAATCATCTAGGGTGTCGAATCGAGATCAGTTTTTTTGCAGCTCTAAATGAGAATGCATCTCGACTTTCCAAGATGCGTCTTCTTGAATATTGTATATTATTTGCAGTCACACAGGGAGCCAGTAGCCCCTTTCACACATACAGACCTTTCCGGAAAATTACCGGCAATTTCCGGAAAGGTTGTATGTGTGAAAAGGCCCTTTTTGAAAATACCGGTAAAATCGTTCCGGCTATTTTCCAGAAAGAGAAGTTGTAACATTACCAGTAAATTGCCGGAATGCTGCCCTGTGTGAATGCAGAAAGAAGAAAAGAGCGGAAAGAGCGCGTGCACATCTAGAACTTCCTGACGTGAGACGTCTACTCTAGCCAATCAGAACAGTTAGACGCATTCACGTCCGCGCGGTTTATGAAAATAAAAGTCTTTAAATGTTTTTCCAGACACCTTAAGCTGCTAGACGTTAGTCAGAGGACATTTATATGTTTCTTCTTAATGCCAACTGTGTAAATAATTATTGATAAGATGCTTATGATAAGCCGTTGTTTGTTTACCTTCAAGCTCCGCTTCCTTCAGTGGCTTGACGCAGTGCTTCAGCTGGTGAGCGCCAGCTCAGCACACACACATACCATGCAACTTACATCTCGACGTGCGAAAGTGTTTCTCTATATGTTTTCATCGAAGTTGTTCACAATACTTTTCCATCCACAGAATTTGTAATGTAGTCAAATGTTTACAAATACAAGCGCTGCCGTTCAGAGCTTATTTCTGGTTAATGTTGTCATAATTTACCGGTATTTTGGAATGGATGTGTGAATGGAATTTTCCGGAAAAATTCCGTAACGTCCTCGCCTGTGTGAATAGCTTTTTTTTAAATTACCGCTTAAGTCGTTCTGGAAATTTTCCGGATATTTACCAGTATCACTGTGTGAAAGGGGCTATTGTTAACTTGCAGGAGATTCCTGTGATTATTTTTTTATTTTTATTTTTTCAGGAGAAGTGGGATATTTCTAAAAGTGCCATAGTAGTAACTTATTTATACTCTCTTCCCTGTATAGGTGTGGCAGCCGTCCCTCCCTAATGCCTGTTTCTCCAGGCTATGCTCGCCTTAAACAAAATGAGCCTATGAACTCTCTGCGCATCTCTGTTGGCGGGCTCCCGATGCTGGCCTCCATGACCAACACCACAGACTCCCGCTTCCGGATCAAATGGAAGGCTATTGTGGTGGTGGCGTCAGCGCTATTCCTCGTCCTCCTCATCTACATGCAGCTTCTGCCCTTTCACCCTCAGCCAGGCAGCAGGTACAACTTGAGCTTGAAACATCGGAAGATGAGCGATGAGGAGGGCTACAATTACACTTACCCGCTCAGTCCACCAGAGCGGACGGCCCAAGGCATACGCTACAGAATAGGGGTCATTGCTGACCTGGACACAAACTCGCTCAGTGACAAGAAGCTGACCTGGTTCAGCTACATGCTGAAGGGTCACCTCCTGGTGTCGGAAAGTGGAGATACAGTGGCGGTCGAATGGGATCAGGAAAGAGTGGTCTTGGAAAGCCACCTAGCAGAGAAAGGCCGGGGCATGGAGCTCTCGGAATTAGTAGTGTTTAATGGCAAACTGTACAGCGTGGATGATCGTACAGGTGTAGTATATAACATTAAAGGACTTAATGCGGTGCCCTGGGTCATACTGCCAGATGGTGATGGCTCCGTTTCAAAAGGTGGGTGTTGCTCTATTATCCTCAAGGACCCTGATATACTTCAAACTAAATTGAAGAGTGAACAGATATTATGGAATTACCTTTGAGCTACCATTGATCTATGCGATTGCTTAATTGGTAGATGGATTGGTAGATTTTTTTTGAGCATGATTTACATACAGCAATAAAATTTGGGAGATTGCCAAAAAGGCCATAAGGGTACAGCATGGTTGGGTATGATGCCGTTTTGGGGGCTTTCTACTGCGTTCTATACCTAGTACTTTTTTAGTACCACCTTGAGAGATGTTCCAAGCGAACCATACCATTACCTAAACAGGACGTATACACACTGATTCATCTAAAAGAATCATCTCTACCCATTTATTCTACCATCTGTTATTAGATTACTGAAACAAGACACCAAACCCTCTATATTTAGGTAGTCACTGCTCAAGAACACCATTTCAGCAACGATATCAATAATCTTACCCACTTTAAGCAGTACTTAACTGCAGTGGAAATGGTAATGCTAACTAGGCTAATTTAACATAGTAGTTCTCAATCCTTCCCACCCCCTATGCAAAACATGCAATGTTGGGGGGGCCCAGAAATGTTGTTGAGAACCACTGGTTTATAGGAAATACACTTGCACAAGTGTAGTTTATTTATAAGCTAATTTGGAGAGGATCATATGCTTATGATTGAACACAGCTGGTACCGCATCAACTCTCTATATTGCACTAATCAGACGAATGCAGACACACTATAAATAACCAGAGCTTTCCACTCCAGTCATCTTCGTGTTGAAGAAATTCCCCCTTCCACCCCTTCTCCCCTTCTCTGATAGGGCAGCACGGAGACCAGTGGTTAGCACGGTTGCCTCGCAGCAAGAACGCCACTGGTTCTGCCCTCACCAGGCCAGTTGGCGTTTCTGTGCAGAGTTTGCATGCTCTCCCCGTGTTTGTGTGGGTTTTCCCCGGGTTTCCTGGTTTCCTCCCACCATCCAAAGACATACACCAGAATTAAATTGACTACTCCAAAACAGCATCTTAAGACAACTCTTAGCCAGATTTATCTCAGCACGTTCACAAGCAGGGGAGTTCTCGAGACCCACCTGAGCTCAAACTCCCCTCTTGCCCTTCAAACCAGAGGGAGCCTCGGGCTCAAGTATATTCTGAGCTCAGGGCTCTCTCCTGGGACGGCATGCCAAATACACTTTATTATCAATCATCAGTTAAGTGTGAGCTCTTGAAAACACATATTTACAACGGGTGTCACGATTTAGATTTTAAATCAAAATCGATCGAAATTTATGCTCAATTTCGATTATCGAATCAAAAAATAGAATTGTCGATGCTGCCACGCCCCCATGTCACGTCAGCTTGGCTTGCCAAGCGGGAAAAAAACACGCTTGTTGAAGTGCTGCAGAAGCAGGAGACCCGTCGACAGAGCTTAAACCCTCTCCTCTTTCAATGAAGTCGCCGGTGTGGAAGTATTTTGGATTTCCAGTGAGTTATGTTGACAACGTTCGTGTTGTCGGCAAAAAAACACAGTTTGCAAGATCTGCTATGTACGTATTAGGGTTGGGCCGATAGACAATGGGCGCATTGTGATTCTCCGCCCCGCCCCCGTTGCAAATCCGCTCGCGAAAAATACACACTCAGTCCCTGTTTACGCTAATATGTCTTTGTTTTTAAATGGCATTTTAGAAAGACAACGATCCACATCCACAGTGGCATTTAGCATTTCTGAGCAGTCCTCAGTGCTCTAAAACAGTAAATGTTACTCGACCTTTTTAAATATCTATTTTGCCCCTAACCCAAGAAGGAGAGCTTGGTTTGAAGTATATCAGGACCTTTGTCCACCAAAATGGTAGCCTGTAGCATTGCCTCTCTCTTAACCATCTGGAGGTTTCACTGGTTTAATTCAGTTTTGCTTGTTCACCACTCTCCTACACAGGGTTTAAGGCAGAGTGGCTTGCAGTGAAGGACGAGCATCTATATGTGGGGGGTCTGGGCAAGGAGTGGACCACCACCAGTGGAGAAGTGCTCAACAACAATCCTGAGTGGGTGAAAGTGGTGGGATTTCATGGAGATGTGGAGCACCATAACTGGGTTCCCACGTACAACTCTCTCCGCAGCGCCGCAGGCATCAGTCCACCCGGTAAGCAACATCCTCTGTGTCTGTAGGTAATTGTGAGTGAAAATTTAAGTGAAAGTTTTTGTGATCAGTGGTTTAAAAGTGATACTGATGATGATGATGATGATGATGATAACGTCTAGATATATTTAATGTTCCATGATACACTTTGTAGGCGACGCAGTGGCGCAGTGGGTAGCACGTTCGCCTCCCAGCAAGAAGGTCGCTGGGTCGATCCTCGGCTCAGTTGGCGTTTCTGTGTGGAGTTTGCATGTTCTCCCTGCGTTCGCGTGGGTTTCCTCCGGGTACTCCGGTTTCCCCCACAGTCCAAACACATGCGGTACAGGTGAATTGGGTAGGCTAAATTGTCCGTAGTGTGTATGTGTGGATGTTTCCTAGAGATGGGTTGCAGCTGGAAGGGCATCCGCTGCGTAAAAACTTGCTGGATAAGTTGGCGGTTCATTCCGCTGTGGCGACCCCAGAATAATAAAGGGACTAAGCCGACAAGAGAATGAATGAATGAATGATACACTTTGTCTAGCTTATAAGGCATTGATGTAGAGCACATAAGGCATTAATTCACTCTTTTTTTTTTCAGCTTAGTCCCTTTATTATCGCCAACTTATCCAGCATATGTTCTACGCAGTGGATGCCCTTCCAGCTGCAACCCATCACTGGGAAACATCCATACACACTCATTCATACACATACTCTACGGCCAATTTAGCGTACCCAATTCACCTGTACCCCATGTCTTTGGACTCGTGGAGGAAACCGGAGTACCTGGAGGAAACGCACGCAAACGCAGGGAGAACATGCAAACTCTACACAGAAATGCCAACTGACCCAGCCGAGGCTCGAACCAGCGATCTTCTTGCTGTGAGGCGAAAGCGCTATCATGCATTCAAAGTGGTATTAAGTCAGACTTAACAATTTTGCAGTTCTGTGTTTATATCTCTAATTGTGAGTTTCTATCTCTCAACTTGCGCTTCGCAATACTCGTTTCACTTGTCCGACAAGCTTTCAGTATCAGCAATGGTGGTCCCCTATCAATTAGTGCACTCTCCAGGGAAATAGTAAATAATTTTCCTGGAGTTAAAAGTGTTCAACTACAAACACGGGGGACACACCAGACTAGGGGGTGGTCAGCCCTGTTCCTGGAGATCTACCTTGATACAAAGTTCAGCTCCAACCCTGATCAAACACACCTGAACCCATTAATCAGGAGGACCTGAACAGCACTTGTTAATTATAGACAGGTGTGTTTGATTTAGATTGCAACTGAAATCTGCAGGAAAGGTAGATCTCCAGAAACAGGGTTGATCACCCTGCACTAGACCAACAGATAGGTGATTAAGGGGTTTTGGTAAAGACTGTGGGGCTTTTCTTATTTAACTACATAAGGAGGCATGAGATGCAGTTTGGGAGTCCAGATGCTCAAGATAGTTATGGAGATAATAATACTGGACCACTTTGATGATGGACTTTGGCTGAGGGATTTTTGAAAGACTAACATGTGCAACGTGCTCTATATATATATATTAGCAAAAATTGGTACAATTGAACAGCATTATTGGACAAAACAGCAGACCGACCACGTTGCACAAATTCTTGAATGTTGTTTTGGTCTTTCATAAATCCCTCAGCCAAAGTCCATCATCAAAGTGGTCCAGTATTATTATCTCCATTACAGTCTTGAGCATCTGGACTCCCAAACTGCATCTCATGCCTCTGTATGTAGTTAAATATAGGAGCTGCTCCAACAAAATCACACAACTTTTTTGATGTGCATGATGGGATTTATTCAGTAAATGTGTTTCTATCATAGTTTATGCAAGTTTTTCTTACTGTATTAAAAATTCGTTCTACTCAGTTGCAAGAATTTTCTAAATTTGCGCACTTATAGGTGTTTCTATTAAGCATTGCAAAATGCAAAATGTGTTGGTGGAAATATTGCTAATGGTTATCATAGTTCCCAATATGCTTCAAAATATGAGTTCAACAAAAAAAATAAGAGCATTATAAGTCTGAAACCCTTTTAGGGTGAGTAAACTAGAATTGTTTAGGGTAAACTCGCTTTTAAAGAGTGCTTCTCAACCATGTTCCTGAAGGGCCACCAACACTGCATGTTTTGAATGTCTCCTTTGTCTGTCACAACCATTACGCCCCATTCACATGGGGCTTCAGCATCAACGCTTGACTGAAGGCGTGTCTGAAGTTGGGGCTGAAACGATAGTCATAGAAGCGTCAGCCAATGAAATTAGTCAGCAATAGGCCACTGTCTAGCTGGTGTATTTGCATACAGTGATCTGATTGGCTGGCGCTTCCATCGGCGCTTGAAAAGTTGAGCTAGTCCCAACTTTTACAGCGAGCAACGCCTCTGAAGTGTCGCCAACGGATCCACAATGCAGTTCGGCAACGCCTGACGTCATCCATTCAAAGTGAATGGGAAGCGTTGGGGCTGACGGCCCGTGTGAATGGGGAGTTACAGGTATTTCAGTTTGTGCTAATGGGCTGATAATCTGAATCAGGTGTGTTTGGTTAAGGAGACATAGGCTGCATCCAAAATCGCATTCTTGCATACTATATTGTATGCTATAAACAGCATACGAGCCGAGTAGTATGTCAGAATTCATAGAATTTGACAAATAATATGCGAGAAGTACCCGGATGACTTACTACTTCCGGCGAGATTCTGAAGTGGGCATCCGATGCACTCTACACTATCCCATGATGCCCCACGAGAGAATTTACGGATGGGAGTGAAGCAATGCAAACGATGCGGGTAGGTCACATGATCATGACAAAATGGTTAATGTAGTACTGTCGAGTTCTACTCGTACTACTCACATTCATATTGTAAAGAATGTACTTTTGTACTTTTGTAACAGTCGAGTAGTAAATTTAAATTCAAATGCAGTACCAACTGTTTAGTTGGCGATTTTGAACGCAGCCATAGACAATGGTGGTCCTCAAGGGGCTTTGGTAAAGACTGTGGGGCTTTTCTTATTTAACTACATACGGAGGCATGAGAGGCTGTTTGGGAGTCCAGATGCTCTAAGCAGTTATGGAGATAAAAATACTGGAGCACTTTGATGATGGACTTTGGCTGAGGGATTGTAGTGGTTGAGAAACACTGCTTTAAAAGACATGTGAGATTCATTGATATTCAATTCTCTGTGTGTTCTGCCCAGGATACCTCATCCATGAATCTGCAGCCTGGAGCGACACTCTGCAGCGCTGGTTCTTCCTGCCGCGTCGTGCTAGCAGCGAGCGATACGATGAGACGGCCGACGAGCGACGCGGCACCAACATAATGCTCAGCTGCTCGCCAGACTTCCAAGACATTAAAGTGAGGAACGTCGGGCCCCTAAACCCTACACACGGCTTTTCGTCCTTTAAGTTTGTGCCCAACACAGACGACCAGATTATTGTTGCTCTGAAGTCAGAGGAGGACGCTGGGAAAATCGCCACCTACATTGTGGCGTTTACCCAAGATGGCCGAATTCTGCTACCTGAAACTAAGATCGGGGATGTGAAGTATGAGGGACTTGAGTTCATTTAGTGTCTGGACGTATTTTCATGCCAAGGATTGGTAAATGCCTTCTTCTAGGTGATGTACATCTAGATTTGGGCATTGTAAGGTTAAGAATAATGCCAAGTGTCTGATGGCAGCCAAAATGTGGTTGTAAATATCGACTCTTAAAATTAAAGTTGACTCTTTAATTATTTTAAATCACCTGTCGGAGCCTTCATCAAAAGTTTTTTTTATTGTTTGCTTCTCTGTCTTTTTCGAGGTTTAGCGTTTCACGCCAGCACTGTACTTACAGTGTAATGAATGTAACAGATTGGATGAAGTGACAGACTCGAATAGTTTACCCTACAAACATCACTGCAGTTGCCATGTGGTTTTGACGAATGTCTTTTTTTTTTTTTTACTGTGAATTGTTTTGTTTTTTACTTTATTGACAAGTGTCTTAAACAGATCAGTTACTTTTTAAAAAAAATCTATAAATCTGAACTGTCACAAAATGAACATCATGTTTCATCGATTCACCAGAGCTATTTATTTGTTGTTGCTGTATTTTGTTTCTGAAGATTGAAGGTTCATAAGAACGGCACTTGTGTACTCTGGTTATTTCATCCAGTTGTTTGATTCACTCAGTTTTGTTAAATCAAATATCACATTAAGCTAAATACACAGGACAGACTGCACCCACAGTGTGGATGTACACAGAGTTCATGAATTTATTACTCTTAATCAGTGTCTTTATTGGGTACACCTTACTAGTAGCGAGTTGAACCCCCCTTTGCCTTCAGAACTGCCTTAATTCTCCGTGGCATAAATATTCCTCAGAGACTTTGGTCCATATTGACATTATAGCATCATGCATTTGCTGCAGATTTGTTGGCTGCACATCCATGATGTGAATCTCCCGTTCCACCACATCCCAAAGGTGCTCTATTGGATTGAGCTCTGGTGACTGTGGAGACCATTTGAGTACCGTGAACTCATTGTCATGTTCAAGAAACCAGTCTGAGATGATTCGGAGATGGTTATCCTGCTGGAAGTAGATATCAGAAGATGGGTACACAGTGGTCATAAAGGGATGGACATTGTCGGCAACAATACTCAGGTAGGCTGTGGCGTTGTCATGATGCTCAGTTGGTACTAATGGGCCCAAAGTGTGCCAAGACAATATCCCCATACCATTACACCACCACCACAAGCCTGAACCGTTGATACAAGGCTGGATGGATCCATGCTTTTATGTTGTTGATGCCAAATTCTGACCCTACCATTCGAAAATCGCAGCAGAAGTCGAGACTCATCAGACCAGGCAACGTTTGTCCAATCTTCTATTGTCCAATTTTGCTGAGCCTGTGTGAATTGTAGCCTCAGTTTCCTGTTCTTAGCGGACAGGATTGGCACCCATTGTGGTCTTCTGCTGCTGTAGCCCATCCGCCTCAAGGTTGGATGTGTTGTGTGTTCAGAGATGCTTTTCTGCAGACCTCGGTTGTAGCGAGTGCATATTTGAGTTACTGTTGCCTTTCTGTCAGCTCAACCCAGTCTGGCCATTCTCCTCTGACCTCTTGTATTAACAAGGCATTTGCATCCACAGAACTGCCGCACCAACAACCCTGCCACAATCAAAGTTGCTGCCATGTGATTGGCTGATTAGAAATTTGCATTGAGCATTTTGACAGGTGTGCCTAATAAAGTGGCTAGGGAGTGTATATATAAACACAAACAAAGACAAAATTATTAGCCCTCCTTGGAAATCATAAATCCTTTTTTAAATATGTCCTAAGAGATGTTTAACAGAGCCGTTACATTTTTATGATATTTTCTATTATATGATTATTCTTTAGAAAGTCATATTTCTTTTGGTTTGTCTTAAATAATAGAATAAAAACAAAAAGAGTAAAAAATAAAGGCTGTGTTTGAACACGCCTACTACTCAGTGGGTACTACATTTGAATTTGAATTTACTACCTGACCATTAGAAAAGTAAGATCTATACAGTATAAATGTGAATAGTATGAATGGTACTTGGACGTACAACAGCCGTCATTTTCTGACCTACCCACATCAGTTGGTCGCTTCACTCCCGTTCATGAATTCTCTCACTGTGCATTATGGGATAGCGTAGCGTCCATCTGATGTGCACTTCAAAATCTAGTCAGAAGTAGTAGGTCATCCGGGTACTTCTCGCATACAGTTTTTTATGAATTCTGTGAATGAATTCGGACATACTACTTGACTCGCATACTGTTTTTAACTTACTATAAAGTATGGAAGTATGCGATTTCGGACGCAGCTAAAGTCAATAAAAATTAGCCCCTCTTTTTTCAAATTGGAATAAAAAAATTGATTGCCTACAGAACAATCCACTGTTGTCCAATGACTTACCTAGTTGACCTAATTAACCTAGTTAAGTCTTCAAATTGCACTTTTAGCTGAATATTATTGTCACACAATATTGTGTACATCATGGCAAAGACGAAAGAAATTGGTTATTAGAAATCAGTTATTAAAATCTGTATGTTTAAAAATATGGCCACCACCTGGTTTTTACCCATGCTGTCCTCCAACCCCACAAACATTATTATGGTTTAACAGAAGGGTCCCAGAAACATACTGTCCCTGGTAGAGATGGGTCTTCAAAGTGCCTTGAAGCTGACCAGAGAAGAAAGGAAACAACCCCATGAGTAAATGATGACAGAATTTTCAAGTTTTAAGTAAACTATCCCTGAACTATTGGGTGAAGACAGCTTGTAACTTTTTGAACTCAGTTACCAAAATGTAGATCGGGTTTACTTTAATCTGAAAAGTAAGTAAAAGTTGTAATATGTTGCCAAGTATGGTGACCTATACTAATAATTTCTGCTCTGCTTTTAACCCATCCAAGTACAAACACACAGGAGTAAACACAAACACCTGGGAAACAATTGCCTAAACAGCCACTATGTTAAGAACTAATTACACCAGATCAATCAATGCCTTACTCAAGGGAATCACCTCAGCCATGTCATTGAGGGTGGTAAGTTACCACCTACAACCCTGACAGGACTCAAACCTGCAACCTTCTTATCATAAGTCCAACACTAACCCTTAGATGGTGTAAGTGTTGTAGGTGGTGGGAGAGATCAATCGGTCCCTTGCTCAAGGAACTCACCTCAGCCATGGCATTGAGGGTGGTGAGTTACCACCTACAACCCTGACAGAACTTGAGCCTCTGCCTTTCGATCACAAGTCCAATTCTTTAACCATTAGGCCACAGCTGCCCCTTGTATGGTGTAAGGGTTGTAGCTGGTGGGAGAGATCAATGGGTCCCTTGCTCAAGGAACTCATCTCAGCCATGGTATTGAGGGTGGTGAGTTACCACCTACAACCCTGACAGAACTTGAGCCTCTGCCTTTCGATCACAAGTACAATTCTTTAACCATTAGGCCACAGCTGCCCCTTGGATGGTGTAAGGGTTAAAGGTGGTGGGAGAGATCAATCAGTGCCTAGCTCAAGAAACTCACCTCAGCCAGGGTATTGAGAGTGGTGAGTCCCTTAAGCAAGGCACCGATTGATCTAGTGTAACTAGTACTTCACATAGTGGCTGTTAATGAAACCAGACACAGATGAGACTGACTGGAAACAAATGATCAGGAGCAGCCTCTGGGAAAACAGGCTCTACAGACCCCAGGAAAGCAGACCTAACCCCTATTCTGGCAATTCACTTGCCAGCAAAGAGATTCATAAGTTATTATGGGTTATCAATAGGGCAAGTGACTGGTGATTGTTTTGGGGAACACTGTATTGTGGGATTTTAGTTTGACTAACACCTCATGTGGCTAAACTTAACCCAGACTTTGCTGACAAACAGTTCTTATCGAAACTTCCCAAATTGTACATTTTCATGAAACGAAACTTTTGGTGTCCTAGAAATGTGATTGCGCAGCGTTTCGTTAAAGTTTCACAATTGCAAACTTGATTTGGCCGTTATTTAAAGGAAAGCCAAGATGCTTTGTAAGTCATTCAGTTGTGAATTGCATCCTTGTCGTTGCTGTTTCTGACATCATGTTGCTCCTGTGGCCTCTACTGTTTCTTCAGGTTTCTGCACTGCGCCGGACCTTGTTTGGTATGTAAACCGTTGGATTATAAGTTTAACATACACTGTTGTTTGCATTAATTTAGCAGGATTTCACAGGTTTAACACTATCATTATTTAACCTAAATATTTTAAAATCTGGCTGAAGACCGACCAAAGCAGCTAATGCAGGAGGGAAGAGTGAGACTGGTTGGAGTTATTCCCTCGTCTGGCCGTGTGGAGGTCTACCATGATGGACAGTGGGGTACGGTCTGTGATGACGGATGGGATCTGGCCGAAGCGCAGGTGGTGTGTCGTCAGCTGGGTTTTCCTGGAGCCGTATCAGTTGCTACTGGAGGACAATATGGTGAAGGTACAAACTCCACTGTGCAGTTTGATTGCCACCTTTAAAACTTTAAGACCATATCTAATTCTGGCCAAAATGCTGTTGATGTGTTCAGGATCTGGTCGAGTCTGGCTGGATGATATGAACTGTAAAGGCTCAGAGAGCTTATTGTCTGAATGCAGCTTCAAAGGCTGGGGTGTTTCTGACTGCACGCATAAAGAGGATGCAGGAGTGATCTGCGCGCCTGGTAAGTTCAGAAGAGAGTTACCTTTTTGTCCACTCATGTTTCTTTTATTTATGCTATCCTGATCTGTTTGGTTGCATTTTCTTTCAAGGTAAAAACACAACCAGCATTCGACAGATGTCTGTGGACAACAGTCTGGGATTGTCAGATGATCTCGGTCTTCTGTTTGACAGTGAAGACGGTTGCGATTTCACCATTGCTGTTCGAGATCTCAGTGAAGAGGCTGAATTGACTTTTTGTGTGCACCGTGTGATCCTCATGATCTATCCAGAGCTAAACTTAACACATGACACCAGAAACATCACGGTGGACATCAGCCAGACTTGCCATACTCATGTGCCGAGATTTCTTAGGTATATTTCTTTCACTTCAGAACTCAATGAAACTTTAAGAAGTGCTATTTTGACTGTACAATCAGTGTTAAATACCGATGTTGTCTGAACTGTTTTACCTCAGGTATTTGTACACCCGTCAGATTGATGTCTCTACAACATCCGCTCAGTGTCTCCATCAGCTGGCGTTCATCTTTGGAGTGCAGAAGCTCATGGAGGATGTTGGCAGGGTCTTCACTGCACTCATTCCTGAAGACATCACCTTCCAGACGCAGGTGTCAATGTACGAGTATGGCGTGCGCACGGGTGACCTTGTCCTCCAGGAGAACGTTCTCCAGTATCTTTCCTGGAACTGCGAGTTCCTCATAAGCTCTCCAGTGTGGAGCACCGTCTCCTTTGACATGATGGATGCTCTGCTTCAGCGCTCAGACCTGATTGTGAAGGATGAAGCTGTTCTTCTTGAAGCTCTGGAGAGATGGATCCAAGACAAAGGTGACAAGATTAGTTCAGATAAACAGGTCAGCCTCCTGAATCACATCCGCTTCCTCTTAATCCCGGTAGATAAACTCTATGACATCCAATTCTCCTCAAGTGCTCTCCGGCAGAGTAATGAGAAACTGTATCTGACTGGACTGCTCAGAGGTTTTCAGTTCAATGCTCTTCCCTTCTCTAAGATCAGAGATCAAGTTGTTAAATTGAGCGGTAATTATATCCCCAGAATCTACATTGGAGATGAGTGGAGTCTCGGTTTGAATGTGAGCACTGTCAATAACCCACATTACAACCCTTATCAGTATGGATATGACCAAAGGTATGGCCAAAGTAACAGAATAGAAAAATACTTATCCACTCCTGCACACCCTAGTGCTGTGTACAGAGGGCAAATGATCCAGTGGCAAGCCCAAGTTTTCCGTAGTGTTCAGGACTGCCGAAATAGTGGCATTTCATGCAATTCGGTGCCTCTTGTAAGATTCCTCGCAACTAGCAGTCAGTACAGTTACTCCAGCACCATTCGCTACAACAACCGGTTGGTTCTTACCTGTAAAAATCAGAACAATGTCTTCCATGTGCAAGACTTCAAAAACAACATGGCAGTGATTCCAACTAACAGCAGCATGGGTCTGCCGAACCCCTGTCCAGATGACTACAGCTTCAGATTTGTCGTGCGCCCACAGTACATCTGAATGCTCAGCGATTTGACCTTTGAGTTTCAGTTGAATCAATTCTGCTAAATTAAATCGAGTCTCTTTGTATTAAAAATCGTTTTCATTCTTGAGTGATTTCTGTGATTTGTTTTAGTTGATTTTAAACCTTTCATTACTGTTAATTAAAAATAAATATGCTTAATTTTCATGCTTAGTGTGCGCATCAAAGACAAAATAAAAAGGTTCTTTCATTATCTCTGTGAGTTTGAGTCTTCTTTCTAATATGTCTAATCAGTGTTAATTGTTAAGAAACATTTAGAATTTATTGCATAGCCTTTGACAGCAGTGGTGTTGTCTTGTTTTGAAAAAAAAAAGAAGAAATACTCATTGAACAATTGATATTGGGTGCGTTATATTTGACTAAAAATTCCCAATGCACCTATTTGTTGCAATAAGCCTTCTGTTGGCAGTCATAAGCACCCTCCATTTGTAGACGTTGTCCAATCACAAGGCATTGTGTACACGATTATAATATAACTGTTATGTATGCCCATATTTTGTTCAAGATACCCAGAGTATAAAACCAGGAAACTCCTGATTTACTCAAATAGTAAAACCTGATTGTGGCAACGCAGTGGCGCAGTAGGTAGTGCTGTCGCCTCACAGCAAGAAGGTCGCTGGTTTAAGCCTCGGATGGGTCAGTTGACGTTTCTGTGTGGAGTTTGCATGTTCTCCCCGCATTCGCGTGGGTTTCCCCCGGGTGCTCAGGTTTCCCCCACCGTCCAAAGACATGCGGTACAGGTGAATTAGGTAGGCTAAATTGTCCATAGTGTATGAGTGTGAATGAGTGTGTGGATGTTTCCTAGAGATGAGTTGTGGCTGGAAGGGCATCCGTGCTGGATAAGTTGGTGGTTCATTCCGCTGTGGCGACCCCTGATTAATAAAGGGACTAAGTCTAAAAGAAAATTAATGAATTAATAATTGTTTGATCAGAAACTAAATCCAAAACATACTAAATGTAAAGAAGTAAAAATGATTTAAAACAGAGACAATGGTTTTCAGGCGAGGCAGTGGCGCAGTAGGTAGTGCTGTCGCCTCACAGCAAGAAGGTTGCTGGGTCGCTGGTTCGAACCTCGGCTCAGTTGGTGTTTCTGTGTGGAGTTTGCATGTTCTCCCTGCCTTCGCGTGGGTTTTCTCCGGGTGCTCCGGTTTCCCCCACAGTCCAAAGACATGCGGTACAGGTTAATTGGGTAGGCTAATTTGTCTGTAGTGTATGAGTGTGTGTGTGGATGTTTCCCAGAGATGGGTTGCGGCTGGAAGGGCATGCACTGCATAAAACTTGTTGGATAAGTTGGTGGTTCATTCCGCTGTGGCGACCCCGGATTAATAAAGGGACTAAGCTGACAAGAAAATGAATGAATGAATGAACAATGGTTTTCAAAGACAATACCTTCATACAATTTTTAAAGACAATACCTTCATACAATAAAACATAACTAGTTTACATTTCTTGATTGAACACTTTATGTTCCGTTTGAAAATATTTTTGTATACAAACATGTTTATGACTGTTGTGTTTGGCTGAAAAAACACTGGAAAAAAAAAAAAAAAAAAAGCCAGTAATTTTTCAGTGACTGTTGTTGGTTTATTTAGTTTTATTTTTTTATTGATTCTGAATTCTTAACTTTATTTCTGTTTACAAAAAATTTTTATTCTATTTATTTTTGAGTCAAAGTTTTAGGTTTCGTTTACTAGAATAGCCTTGCTCCACAGTTTCAACTTCATGCCTCCTTTCTGCTTTCTGTTTCCTTTCTTGCATCCCTGACCTGAATGTCCTTAGTTCTAAAACAAAAGTCAACTGCACGATCTTGAGTTACATGTAAACTTTCCATATTTAATTCATCTTCATTTTACTTTTCTTGTTTCCATGTTTAATTCACATTTAATTCCATATTCAGTATTTAGTTTAAGATATTTTGTTAAACATTTTACAATTTAATTTATTATCTGTATGTGTGTTTTTAAATGAAATGCCAATTAGGTTTTGCTTCTTTTTTTTTTTTTTTTTTACAGATTTATCTATTGATTTATTTGGAAATCCATAATAATGTGTGATATTTTAAATAACAGAAACAACACAAACTGGCACAAACGAAGCACAAACGAACAAGACTATTTTGGTTAAATTTGGAGCATGTTGCGGGGATGGTGAAGTCATCGCCCATAATTAAAAGTGTAATATTTTAATAACTGAAACAGCACAAACAGAAATTTCACTGGAACAAACGAACGAGACTATCTTGGTTAAATTTGAAGCATGTTGGGGGGGCTGATGACATCATCGCCCATATTTAAAAATGTAATATTTTAATAACTGAAACAGCACAAACGGAACTTTTACTGGCACGAACAAACGAAACTATCTTGGTTAAATTTGGAGCATGTTGCGGGGCTGTTGATGTCATCGCCCATAATTAAAAGTGTAATATTTTAATAACTGAAACAGCACAAACGAAACTTTTATCAGCACGAACAATACACAAACGAACGAGACTGTTTTGGTTCAATTTGGAGCATGTTGCGGGGATGGTGAAGTCATCGCCCATAATTAAAAGTGTAATATTTTAATAACTGAAACAGCACAAACCAAAGCACAATCGAACGAGATTATTTTGGTTAAATTTGCAGCATGTTGGAGCCTGGTGGCATCATCGCCCATAATTAAATGTGTATTTTAAAAACTGAAACAGCACAAACGGAACTTTCACTGGCACGAACGAAGCACAAACGAACAAGACTATTTTGGGTAAATTTGGAGCATGTTGCGGGGCTGTTGATGTCATCGCCCATAATTAAAAGTGTGATATTTTAATAACTGAAACAGCACAAACAGAAATTTCACTGGAACAAACGAACGAGACTATCTTGGTTAAATTTGAAGCATGTTGGGGGGGCTGATGACATCATCGCCCATATTTAAAAATGTAATATTTTAATAACTGAAACAGCACAAACGGAACTTTTACTGGCACGAACAAACGAAACTATCTTGGTTAAATTTGGAGCATGTTGCGGGGCTGTTGATGTCATCGCCCATAATTAAAAGTGTAATATTTTAATAACTGAAACAGCACAAACGGAACTTTCACTGGCACTAATGAAGCACAAACAAACAAGACTATTTTGGGTAAATTTGGAGCATGTTGCAGGCCGGTTGTTGATGTCATCGCCCATAATTAAAAGTGTGATATTTTAATAACTGAAACAGCACAAACAGAACTTTCACCAGCACGAACGAAGCACAAACGAACGAGACTATTTTGGTTCAATTTGGAGCATGTTGCAGGGATGGTGAAGTCATCGCCCATAATTAAAAGTGTAATATTTTAATAACTGAAACAGCACAAACCAAAGCACAATCGAACGAGATTATTTTGGTTAAATTTGGAGCATGTTGGAGCCTGGTGGCATCATCGCCCATAATTAAATGTGTATTTTAAAAATTGAAACAGCACAAACGGAACTTTCACTGGCACAAACGAAGCACAAACGAACTAGACTATTTTGGTTAAATTTGGAGCATGTTGCGGGGATGGTGACGTCATCGCCCATAATTAAAAGTGTGATATTTTAATAACTGAAACAGCACAAACAGAACTTTCACCAGTACGAACGAAGCACAAACGAACGAGACTATTTTGGGTCAATTTGGAGCATGTTGGGGGTCTGCGTGGCCGATGAATGACTTACAATTATTATTTTAATCTCTCAAAAACCCAAACAGCAAAAAACCAAACATTTTTGCAGCACAAACCATTAAAAATGGAGCCCAAAGGAATGAGACTATTTTGCTGACATTTTGTGTTGTGTGGGGGCCCAAAACCTCACCTTTTAAAAAGTTTGTAGCCCAGTTAGAGACTTTGTATCTTTATTTCTAAACGTTTATGAAGATGTATTATATAAGATTATATATATATATATATATATATATATATATATATATATATATATATATATATATATATATATATATATATATATATATATATATATATAATAAAGCAAACAGTCAGGCTTGTTCCAACAGATGTTGGGAATTGAGAACGTCCTCTTTGCTCTTTGTGCATTTTTGTTTCTTTTATAGACTTCAAGCCACTGAAATGGGCTTTGTTTGCACATGTAAGTCAGGTTATCTGATTTTGTTTACACATATTTGATTGGACGGAGCTAGACCATGTGTTCTGTATTGCACAATGCTTGACCCAAATTTCTAGATATTTTCATCAACGAGAATTTGTTGACCTGTTTCGAAGAGTCTCAAGCAAATATGATCAAGTATATTATATGGACTTTTCTGCTTATTCATGTGTCGGCCCAGCGTTGGACTCTGTTTGGTTAGTATACAGAATAAACTTGCAACTGCTTTAAAATTGAATGAATTTCCAATATTGGAACTTTTTGCATGCCTTAAAAGTTGCTAGTCAAACCTTAATTTCACTTGGTTTTGTTTGTTGCTGTTTGAGCACTCTTTCATGAGTCCCTTAAATAAGTTTATGGCATATATGGCAGATGAGCAATCAAAGCCTAAGGGTGTTTTGAGACTGGTTGGAGGTCTTTCCTCGTCTGGCCGTGTGGAGGTCTACCATGATGGACAGTGGGGTACGGTCTGTGATGATGGATGGGATCTGGCCGAAGCGCAGGTGGTGTGTCGTCAGCTGGGTTTTCCTGGAGCCGTATCAGTTGTCTCTGGAGGGCAATATGGTGAAGGTACAAGCACAGCCTGAGGAAGAGAATTTAAATGTTATATGTTGATGTTTCACACTGTTAAACTGCAATGTCATTTTAAATACTGCTTGGACTCTGGGTTAAAAAAAGCATTCAATTTAGAAGTGGGGTTAGTGCTGTTTTTTAAGAAAAACCTGGATATTAAAGGGTCACGAAACACCAAAACACATATTTTGAGCTGTTGACGGTCATATACTGCTGAAGTCAGAATTATTAGCCCCCTTTTGATTTTATTTTATTTTATTTTTTTAATTCCTAAATGATGTTTAACAGAGCAAGGAAATTTTCACAGTATGTCTGATAATATTTTTTTTTTTCTGGAGAAAGTCTTTTTTGCTTTATTTCAGCAAGAATAAAAGCAGTTATTAATTTTTTAAAAAACATTTTTGGGACAAAATTATTTGCCCCTTTAAGCTAATTTTTTTTCGATAATCTACAGAACAAATCATCATTATACATTGACTTGCCTAATTACCCTAACCTGCCTAGTTCACCTTATTAATCTAGTTAAGCCTTTAAATGTCACTCTAAGCTGTATAGAAGTGTCTTGAAAAATACCAAGTAAAATATTATTTACTGTCATCATGTCAAAGATAAAATAAATCTGTTATTAGAAATAAGTTTTTAAAACTATTATGTTTAGAAATGTGCTAAAACAATCTTCCCTCCATTAAACAGAAATTGGTGAAAAAAATAAACATTGGCGTTAATAATTCAGGGGGGCTAATAATTCAACTGTATGTGTCCCACACTGTTAAAAAGACTATTGAGACACATATATATCACCAAAAAGTGAAAGTTGGTTGTTTTTGCGTTATTTAAAGCAAATTTGTTCTTCCGGTTTGAAACGAATTTTTGAAGCTGCGTCACGCCGATTAGATCCTTGTGTGTAATCCAGCGTCTAGACTGGATGTCTGTACTGGCGAGTACAACGTGACATGTTTAGGTCATCAGTGGTCTTTGTTTGTTGATTCAGATGGCAAAGTTAGTTCGTATTATCAGCAGTACTCTTTCAGTTTTTAAAGACAGACCTTAGTCAAAATTATTGAGTTTACAGTACGTTAATATTATAAGATTTTCATTTTGTGACAGGATAGTCTATACACACTAGGTATGGCTCAATAATGTTTTTTTTTTAACGGTTTTACATAATGTATCAACAGGACAACACACAAAGAGGAAGAAATAAGAAGAAAAAAAAATAATAAAATAAATTGGACACCCACCCCCCCACGCCCAAAAAATAAATAAATAAATAAATAAAATAAAAAATTACATAAATAAATGAATAAGTGAGGGACATTTAACATAGTCAACACAATATTATGAATTAACAACAGAGTAAATTCAGTCATTACTATGAGAGTAGTAGTGCACTATTCAGTTTTGAGGAAATCCAGAAAGGGTTGCCAGGCAGTTTGAAATTGCAGATGACATTTGGGCTCCAGGGAACGTATCTTCTCCAGTTGTATGACGTGAGACAATTCATCCAACCAAGCTTTAAAACATGGGGAGTCTAGGGATTTCCAGTTTAATAAAATAGTTTGTTTTTTTTGCAAGAATCCACGATAATCGTTTTTAAGGTATACCGCAGTTTGGAAAAGTCAAGGATTTAAAACCGTCAACATTTTTTGCAATACCGTTCCTAAGGTGTGTGTACGATTTTTTTATTTACATTTTTTTACAGTATCTCCAGCAGAAAAGATATCCAAAGATGCCATTTTTAAATTGTAAAATGTCTGTTTTTTAAACAAATTAAGAGAGCGGAAGTCAATAATTAGTTTAGCTTGACATGTTTACTGTTCCAAAATAATTTAAATGTTTCTCAAAATAAAATCTACTGTGTTTAAAATGAAAAAAGTTTATGTTTTTTACTCAGATATTTTAAAAGAATATATATTAGAGCAGTAATCACAATACCGTGAAACCGTGATATTTTTATCCAAGGTTATCATACCATCAGAATCTTATCCCGGCCCATGTCTAATACACACACATGAGTCTGACGCTACCTACAGAGTGATGAAGTTATCAGGTTTTTTTTCTCCCATACACCGTGTGGTATCAAACATTCCATTAAAACTACACTCTTCCAGCAGTTCCTTGCATTCAATATTTCATTTGTCTCGGGAAGCATGCAGAAATGTTCCTAATTGAAAGTGAAAGTGCCAAACTGCAGTTAAAGTTGACAAACTGATCATTAAGATGGGGCGTTCATGGCCATTTAAGACTTGTAATGGTTTAATATAACATAAATTGAGTCTCACACTGAAATATGTTGTTGAAAATCAATAGAAGATTTATGTTATTTAAAAACATACGCATCTATTGGACAACATATGTTGACATGCAATGCACTCGGTGGTGTCAGTAAGCCACTGCCCGTTTGGCAGTAAATAACAAGTACCAAGTAAGTACAGAAAAAAAAACAATAATACATAAGAATAAATAAAATATTTCTCTGTTTTAATTTGCATTTGAACAAAAAGTGTTCAGTGGCCCACCAGCACAGAGTTTGGGCACCCCTGTAATTGATGATTAGTTGTAAATCTTGGAAAAATAACGAGCAATGTGAAAGAAAACATTATTAAATTGCCTAGGCCTCAGAATTGTGATGATAAGATGTTGTCCTGTTCTATTTTGTTCTGCTCATGCTCTGTTGTACTTTTTAGGCTCCGGTCCAATCTGGCTGGATGATATGATGTGCAAAGGCTCAGAGAGCATATTGTCTGAATGCAGCTTTAAAGGCTGGGGCGTCAATGACTGCACACATAAAGAGGATGCAGGAGTGATCTGCAAGATTGGTAAGACAATGGATCATCAAGAAATAATGTTTGATTGTGTAAATGGATTTGGCCTTTTACTGTTTTCATGTTTTGTGTTGTTAGGATTATTGTATTGCACGATTTATTTAGAGCATATGTAATACTTCTGAATCTCAGAAAAGTGAATATGGGTGCCCTTTAAATGGCTACATCGCATCTCTGCCACTAGATGGGGATGTTTTTGCATGCCCTTTCATAAGTACATTTTTCTAATGATTTATTGTAGTCTCCTGAATTTATTTATAGAAACAGCCATTTTATAATTTTGGTGAAATATTTACATTTATATTTAGTCATTTAGCAGACTCTTTTGTCCATTAAATAAGCTAACAGATGAGGAAAGCATTCAATGATTCAATATGAAGAGGCTATTGGCAAAAAGTGCTACAGAAACAAAGGTTATAATAGTTTTTAGGGTAAAAACAAGAAGTAAGGTAGGTACAAAAACTGGAAAAGGACTTTTTTTTTTTTTAGATGTGCTCAAGTGCCAGCAGAAGTGATAAGTTTTAAGTAGCCAATTGAATGTTACCATTGAATTAGTCATTTAAAGTAAATGAGATGGAACGATTGTGCCACCAGCGAAGAACAGTGACTAAAAAGGTTTCGGAAAGTGACTTAGAGCCTCTCTGTGATAGTGTCACGAGATGGCGCTCACTTAGCAACTGGAGACCCCTGAAGGGAATTTAAGCCTGTTTTATACTTCTGCGTCAAATGATCGGCGTGATCCACGGCGCATGAAACGTGCGTGGCCGTGCATTTATACTTATGCACGCTGTTTCTGTTGCTCTGCAATAACACTTCCGAAACACTAGTTGGCAGTGAGGTGTTTAGTTTCCTCTGTGTCGAGTTTCTTTGCTGCGACGCAGACAGCCACAGCGTAGGGCTGTGCATCAACGTAAAAAAATCAACCTTTAGACTTCAAGAATCAAATAAAGGTAAGAGGGTACAGAGCCAGTGTCTTCTGTAAGCCAGCATCAATGATTTGAACTTGGTGCAAGCTTAAAATGGTAAACAGTGTAAGGAGATGAAGAAAGGCGTGGCATGGGCTCTCTTGGGCATGTTGCAGACCAGAAGAGCTGCAGCCTTCTGGATCATTTGTAAAGCTGTATGGGCACAAGATAGGAGTTTGGCCAGAAAAACATTGCAGTAGTCTCGCTATTTAAACAGAAAAGAAGAAATTTGTGCAGCATGACCATTCAGAAAGGGTCTGATTTTTTGAATGTTGTAAAGTGCAAACCTGCTTGATCATGCTGTGATAATAGTCAATGATCCCAGCTACTATAGGAGTAATAGTCAATGATCCCAGCTACTATAGGAGTAATAGTCAATGATCCCCGCTTCTATAGGAGTAATAGTCAATGATCCCAGCTATTATAGGAGTAATAGTCAATGATCTCAGCTACTATAGGAGTAATAGTCAATGATCCCAGCTACTATAGGAGTAATAGTCAATAGTCAATGATCCCAGCTACTATAGGAGTAATAGTCAATGATCCCAGCTACTATAGGAGTAATAGTCAATGATCCCAGCTACTATAGGAGTGATATTCAATGATCCCAGCTACTATAAGAGTGATAGTCAATGATCCCCGCTACTATAGGAGTGATAGTCAATGATCTCAGCTACTATAGGAGTAATAGTCAATGATCCCAGCTACTATAGGAGTGATAGTCAATGATCCCAGCTACTATAGGAGTGATAGTGAATGATCTCAGGCACTATAGGAGTAATAGTCCATGATCCCAGCTACTATAGGAGTAATAGTCAATGATTCCCGCTTCTATAGGAGTAATAGTCAATGATCCCAGCTATTATAGGAGTAATAGTCAATGATCCCCGCTTCTATAGGAGTAATAGTCAATGATCCCAGCTACTATAGGAGTAATAGTCAATGATCTCAGCTACTATAGGAGTAATAGTCAATGATCTCAGCTACTATAGGAGTAATAGTCAATGATCCCAGCTACTATAGGAGTAATAGTCAATGATCTCAGCTACTATAGGAGTAACAGTCAATGATCTCAGCTATTATAGGAGTAATAGTCAATGATCTCAGCTACTATAGGAGTAATAGTCAATGATCCCAGCTACTATAGGAGTAATAGTCAATGATCCCAGCTACTATAGGAGTAATAGTCAATGATCCCAGCTACTATAGGAGTAATAGTCAATGATCCCAGCTACTATAGGAGTAATAGTCAATGATCCCAGCTACTATAGGAGTAATAGTCAATAATCCCAGCTACTATAGTAGTAACAGTCATGGATCCCAGTTACCATGGGAGTAATAGTCAATGATCCCAGCTACTATAGGAGTAATAGTCAATGATCCCAGCTACTATAGGAGTAATAGTCAATGATCCCAGCTACCATAGGAGTAGTTGTCAATGATCCCAGCTACCATAGGAGTAATAGTCAATGATCCCAGCTGGATGGAGAAATTTGTTGTTTAGCTGAAGTTGCAGGAAAGACCAGAAGGTTTGTTTTGCCAGACTAAGATGATGATCTTTTAAAGATATCAAGCTATCTTCCAGGGAGTGCGAGATTTATGAGAATCCACAGCCACTGAATCTTCTTGTTGAAAGTAGAGTTATGTGTCTATGACATAACAGTGATAAGAAAGACAGTGATTGAATGATGGGTCCCACTGATGTGGTGCAACCAGCTAATCTCTCCTCTCCAGGTTACCCTGTAAGATCTGCAGGTGAGGTAAGACTCAGACCATCATAGTGGGGTTCCTGTGATATCCACTGAGAGAGAGTGGACGGTAGAATCTGAAGATTTACCCCAGGGGTCACCAAACCTGTTCCTGGGGGGCTGGTGTCCTACAGATTTTTGGCCCCAACCCTAATCAAACACACATGAGCAAGCTAATCAAAGTCTTACTAGGTATATTTCATCCAGGCAGGTGTGTTGAAGCAAGTTGAAGTTTAACCCTGCAGGTACACTGGCCCTTCAGGACAGAGATTGGTGACCCCTGATTTACCCTATCAAAAGCAGGAGACAGGTCCAGTAAATCAGAATTGATCATTTGGAACCCATTTCAACAATCTGCAGGGGTTCAGGGGCTGATAGTAGCGCTGTCTCAGGAGAATAGATACTTTTGAAGCATGATTGGTTGGTGTACAGAAGGTTATTCCGAGCAAGAAGTTGTAAACCTGTTCGATAACAAACCTCTTCAAGTGTTTTGGCTATGGAAAGGAGGACAACCAGTCTAAGGTTTCCTAGGCATTGGGGTTACCTGATAAAATTAATTTCTTATATGTGTTTTCCTCAATGGACTATAATCATTCATTTGATGCAGGTGTGCACATTGACTTCACACTATTCAACACTATTATGCTGTGTTAACACCAGACACGGAACGCGTGGATAAATTGCGCTATTCATGCATAGCCGCGTGAACATAGGAATTTACTCACTTCATTCGCGCGTCAAACCCCGCTTCATTCGCAGAACAGACGCGGATTCGTGTGATGAGCAGAGCTTCTGTCTGCCCGGTGACTCTAGCTTCATTGCTAAATGGCTAACATGGATTTTATTAAGAAAATATCAGTGTTTATTTACTTTATAAAGGCTGAAAAACCACGTCGATACATTTAGGGCTGTGTCTGAGTCCACTAGATCCTTTCAGAGGTGCATCCAGCTCTATGAGCTCATAAACTCCTCCAGAAACTTAACTTGGATGATGGAGGCTTTCACCGGTGCTTCTGACTGAGCCGAGCCCAGTTAGATGAACTTTCTGTCGGTGTCGGCTGGAGGATTTCCCCCGGGAAACCAACAACAGGTGTATATCACAATCACGCCCCCACAAGAGCAAGCTCCTGATTGGTAAATGCGGTGCGAATGTCCACAGAAGTTCCGATTTTCAATTTCGAGCGATTCACGCGAAACGTGTGTTAAGCACTTCAAACGTTCAAAACGCTCAATCCGCGCTGCACCATTTGCACGTATCGCACCATTCGCACCGCGTAATTCGCGTCATTCACGCCGCACCATTCACACGTATTCTATTAGCGCCATTCTATTAGCGCGTTTGCATTGACTTAACATGTAAATCACTTGAGGCAGTGGCGCAGTGGGTAGCACATTCGCCTCACAGCAAGAAGGTCGCTGGGCTGCTGGTTCTAACCTCGGCTCAGTTGGTGTTTCTGTGTGGAGTTTGCATGTCTGCAAGTTTCCTCTGAGTGCTCCGGTTTCCCCCACAGTCCAAAGACATGCGGTACAGGTGAATTGGGTAGGCTAAATTGTCTGTAGTGTATGTATGTATGTGCATGTGTGGATGTTTCCCAGAGATGGGTTGCGTCTGGAAGGGCATCCGCTGTGTAAAAACTTGCTGGATAAGTTGGCGGTTCATTCCGCTGTGGCGAACCTGGATTAATAAAGGGACTAAGCTGACAAGAAAATAAATGAATGTAAATCACTTGATGTGTGTTCTGTGAAGTTTGTTATGGACTCCCTGTGTCATGTTTACCTCTAGTTTATTGTAGACATGCAAAAGACTAATTGGTCAGACGCCAAATATAAATATGCACAGAAGTTCCCGTATAACCTGCATTTCTGTTAATTATGTCTATTTGCATTTTCTTTTCAGGTACAAACACAACCAGCAATCGTCAGATCTCTGTGGATAACAGTCTGGGATTGTCAGATGATCTCGGTCTTCTGTTTGACAGTGAAGATGGTTGTGATTTCACCATTACTGTACGAGATCTCAGTGAAGAGGCTGAATTGAATTTTTGTGTACACCGTGTGATCCTCATGATTTATCCAGAGCTAAACATAACAAGCAACTCTAGAAACCTCACAGTGGACATCAACCTGACATGCCACTCTCATGCCTCTGCTTTCGTCAGGTAACTCGAAAGTCTGTTATTAATAGGATGAACTGAAATCTAATGTTATGGATCTAGTTTAAAATTAAACAAAAGACTCTTTCGTTTATTCGAACAAGTTTGCAATGTTAAGAGAAAAGTTTCATTTTGTATTAAATGATCAGTGAGAGCAACCCCTTTGCATATCTTAAAATTGAAGATTCAAACACAAAAACATCCATTGTTTATGGCACAATGACTGAATTTTCTCAATCTTTAAAAATGTATAAAGTTTAGCTGTTAAAATGAGCATGAATTGATTCAAATCATTTCACACACAGATGCAAAAGTGTATATTTCACAAATTATTGGCAACACTGGTTCTCAATCATCCAGCCATATGGCTATAAGATGTTGAGCTACTGGATTATTTGCTAGAGACACCTTTAATTACACCTCAAAGGCCAGTGATGCATGCTGATGTACCCACAGAAACGAAATTATATTGTATGTATATTACCATTACCATTATTCCGCAGCTCTTCACCACTCCTTTGAAACACTACCTTGCTAAATTGACAAAAAAAAAAAATATATTTCAATTCATCTTTATTTCACTTTTACAATGTAGATTGTGTCAAATCAGCTTCACATAGAAGATCATAGTGAATTGAAACAGTATAAGTTCAGTTTTCAGAGTTTAAGTTCAGTTCAGTGTGGTTTAATATTCACTGCTGAGAGTCGAAACACTGAAGAGCAAATCCATCGATGCGCAGCTCTACAAGTCCCGAACCATGCAAGACAGTGGCGACAGCGGCGAGGAAATAACTTCACCAATTGGTGAAAGTGAAGGATAAAAACCTTGAGAGAAACCAGGCTCAGTTGGGTACGACCATTTCTCCTATGGCCTATGGCATCTTGCTCTTGTCTTTTTGTGTGTGGTTGATTATTAACAGAGAAGGACAAATAAGTCTGGTGGTTTTAGGTGGTTAGGGTTGTGGCGAGATGGATGCTTTTTATTGTTTATTTTTCTCAAGTGCCACTAGGGGGCGCTGCTCCGACCGGTCCTTCCTATCGCTTCCAGACAATACTTCCGGGGGTCGGGAGGAAGCGGAAGGGCAGGTAAACAATCGGAGATTATAAAAGAGGAAGAAAAGGCCAGAGAAGGGGCTTCTGGTTGTTTTGGTGTCGGGTATTTGGTGGCAAGAATTGGAGAAAGAGGAGAAGAACGGTGTAAGGTGGAGAGCTTGTTGGTTTCAATGACTGTGTGAGGAAAAAACTGAGGGGTGGAAGCAATTCGTGGACGTGGTGACCAGGCGATCTCTAGTATTGTGTGCGAGGGGTCTGAAATTCTGATGGGAAAAGTGGACCTGTGCAGAACGGATTCGGTGTCCCTGGGTCAGTAACTTTTGTCCATTTGCATCCATTCATACACCCACACATTCCACACACACATTACAACGTTATCACATAGGCTTTCTTTACATTTTTTCCCTCTCTTGTTTCCAGTCGATCAGCCACACATTATTATTGTTTGTTTGTTTGTTTGTTTGTTTGTTTTCTTTTGGGTTATCTAAACATTATTATTGAAGTGTTTGAATTGTTTGTTTGATGTTTCCTTTTGTTACCTAAGAAGTGCTAATTTTGACTATGATCTATGACTGAACAGTGATTAAAAGTATATATTTTGATTTTGAAAACCTTTTTGTTGTACTGCTTGTTAAAAATATACCAGTTAATTTAATTTAAAGTGTGTGTTGGGTAATCTTTATTTTCTTCTCTTTGTGTGTATGGTGGTTAAGTGTTTGCCGCGGCTATCCAGGGTTTTAATTTAATTTTTGGCAAGTTAATCTTGTCTGGCGCCCAAAGATTTATTAATTTTGGTAACTATTTATTTTTTTTTTTTTGTTTGAGGTCCGCTGGCAGTGGGATTAAGGGACGTGTGAAAGTCAGGTAGTGCAGTACCCACGTGGACCAGCGGTTGAGCGTTCGGCTGCGGTGCAGGAAGTCCCGTGTTCGAATCCCGCGGAGTTCAGTTTTTGAGATTTGAATTATTATTTTTTTTTCTTATTATAAACTGTATATAAGATTTATTTATTACAAACAACCACCGTCACATAAGTGGCGCCCGAACAGGGACCCTGAACACTTAAAAAAAAAAAAAAAAAAAAAAAAAAAAAAAAAAAAACTGAACACTTTAAAAGACATTGAACACCATTGAAACCTTACTTTATTTTGGGAAATTTTGAACTTTGAAACTCATTTGAATTGTTTGACTGATTTCAGTTGACAACAACCTTTTTGACTTTTTGAACTGTTTTGCTTTACTGACAAAGACTTTGGAAAAAAAAAACAATTTTGTTAAAAAAAAAAAAAAAAAAGTTGTTATAGAACATTTGTGTCATTGTACAGGAATTGTACTGATTTTGTATACCTTGTGAATTTGGTACTTGTGGTACTTTTGACATCTCTCTCTCTATATATATATTTTTTGTGACCACATTGCTTAAAAAGTCAACATTTTCTTTTTTGATTTTTATTTTTTCAAAACCCTTAGATTGCACTCATACACACTATAAACATGGCCAACGTCAGTCCTTCCCCTTCAACTTCCGTGGATATTGATCCACCTGATATAGCCACTCCAGTTTGGCCACCAGTGCAGCAAAGACAGTTCTCATCACCTTCCAACATTCCCACATACCACTCCACACCCACTCAGTTAGACCCTTATGGAAGGACTCAAGTGCATTTCCACACCACCACTCCAGGTGTTACTTCTACAGTTCAACCTGACCCAATGCAACTGTGCACAAGTGCATCCATGGTAGAATCACCGCCCTCCACAGCAACCCAGCATGCTCTTCCTGGATACCTCCCTACACCTGGAAGAGAAATTCATCAACTTACTGCTCATGTACAAGGAAACTGGGATCGTGTATTTGACTGTCTGAAACGGCAAGATAAAGCTGTGAAGGAACTCACTGAAAAATCGGCTAAATCTTTTTCCCTGCATGAAGCAAAGCTTGCAAAAATGGAATCCACCTATCAGCAACTCCTGAACACATTAACTGCACAACGAAAAGATGACACAGAGACAGCGGATCAACTCACTAAAGCTGTGAAGGTGATGGTGACACAAGAAATCCAAAGGAGTGAAAGTACCTTAATTTCAGAGATTCGCTTCATGGTGGAACAAGCTCAGTTGGAATTGCAGAAGGATATTCAAGCTACCAAGGAACACTCGGACAAGAATTTTGAACGCCTTTCCAGTGATCTAAATCACTGCAGCACTGAAATTAATGCCATAAAAAACCAACTTGACAATCTTCAAACAGAAATAAGTGATTTCATCCCACCTATAAAGCAAGTGTCTGATCCTCCAAGCAGTGCACCTGTATCCGTTTCAACACAGTCTTCATCTTCAGTGACTGCTCCAATGCCTTTTCAAACACCTATTATAAAAAGTGATCATTTAAAGTTAACTTTTCCAACGTTTGGAAGACCTTCGGATGATGCTGATCCACTGCTATATGTAACACGCTGCAAAGATTTCCTGGCCTTACACCCTCTAGATGATCCAGACATCCTAGCTACCTTCCGCACTGTCCTGTACGGTACAGCCCGGGATTGGTGGGAAGTGGCTCGCTCTGCTATTTCCACATGGAGTGAGTTTGAAACTGCTTTTCTCTCAGCTTTCCTTTCAGAAGACTATGAGGATGAGCTGGCAGAGAGGGTTAGAACTAGAACACAAGCAGAGAAAGAGTCAATTAGAGACTTTGCTTTTACATACAGAGCAATGTGTAAACGATGGAAGCCCACACTAACTGAGAGTGAATTAGTAAAAATGATTCTAAAAAACATAAAACCTCACCTAGCCAGCCAACTTCGAAGCCGTGTCCATACAGTGGATGAGTTGGTTAAACTGGGCCTTCAGCTTGAGAAGGATTATGTTCAGCAGTTACATTATGTAGAACATGTGACTCAACCCTCACCACAAAGAATTGCCCCCAACCGAGTTGAGAAACCTCCAGTTTTGTGTTGGAGATGCAAAGGTCTGCATCCACCAGGTAGTTGTCCTCACTATTCCTCCTCTGTGCAAACCACTCAATCATCTAGTCACCCTCCTCCTACAGGAAATAAACGTCATTTTCAGACCCAAAAGCACGGAGGTAATCCATCAAACAATGCCATGTCTATTACACTTCCTTCAAAGCCATTACCCAAGTCGACTGTTACTAAATCTGTGGTCATACCACAACAGCTGATAGTTCCAATTTACATTGGGGCTTGGAGAGGAAAAGCCATATTGGATACGGGTGCCAGTTACACTTTACTCCATGAGAGTTTGTGGAAGGAGATCGATCCCCAAGCCAGCCTCCATCCCTGGACACTTGGCCCACTCTATCTGGCCAATGGAGAAGCCGAAGTTCCTTTAGGATGGACGAATTTTGAAATCATATTGCATAACAAAGTTTTTCCTACTCAAGCTGCCATTCTCACTCCAAAAGCCTTGGCTTACTCTGTAGTCTTGGGTTTAGATTTCATTTATTCAAGTGGTCTACAGATTAATGTAGTTGACCAGACATACTCTTTTAAGTCCAACCCTAATGAAGAGTACCCTTTTCAACCTGGACATGCTAGTGTTCCTGTGGGAAGATCCCAACATTTGAACAAAAATGCACAAACCCAACATTCAAGTAAGACACTATCTCTGCTCAGCTCTATTCCTCCACCATTACCTTTTCCAGTAGTATCCCAACTTGCACCCAGTAGTGATGATCAAGCTCTGATTGAGATGGCTGTTGCCGAAGCACACTTACCACTAGAACGTAAGCCACAGTTACTTCATCTTCTCCAGTCAAACCCAAAAGTCTGTACTCTTCAGCTTGGAAGAACCACTGTTCTTCAACATTGCATTTACACCACTCACCCAGTACCCGTTAAGCAACGTCCTTATCGGTTGACACCTGGAAAACAAGCCATAGTAGAGGAACAGATTGAAGAGATGCTAAAGGCTGGTGTCATCGAACAGTCTTGTTCTCCATGGGCATCTCCAGTAGTTCTTGTTCCTAAGAAAGACAACAGTCTTAGGTTCTGTGTGGACTACAGAAAATTAAATGCGATGACAGAAAGTGATGCTTATCCAATACCTAACATCACAGAGATTTTAGAGTCTCTTTCTGGAGCATCCACATTCTCATCCTTGGACCTCAACTGTGGATTTTGGCAGGTACCAATGGATGACAAAAGCAAGTTGATGACTGCATTCATCACCTCTAGAGGGTTATATCATTTCAATGTTATGCCCTTTGGACTGAAAAATGCTCCTGCTACCTTCCAACGTTTGATGGAAATCGTCCTGAGAGATTTACTTGGGAAAATTTGCTACGTCTATATTGACGACATTGTCATTTACTCACCCACCTTGACCCAACATCTTCACGACATCCAGACCATCTTGGAGAGACTGGAAAAAGCAGGTCTAACCCTAAACCTAAAAAAATGTTCCTTTTGCCTACCTGAAATTACCTTTCTAGGACACGTAGTGAGTCACCAAGGAGTTGCAGCTGACCCCAAGAAGGTGGAGGTCATTCACGCTTACCCAGTCCCACAAAACCTTAAGGATGTTCAGCGATTCTTAGGACTGGCAGGATGGTATCACCGTTTTGTACCAAATTTTTCACGCATTGCTGAACCACTGAATAATCTGAAAAAGAAAGGACGACAATTCAAGTGGGATTCACTATGCCAGCAAGCATTTGAGAATCTAAAGTTCTGTCTTACCACACCTCCCATCCTGGGCCATCCAGATCTTAACATACCTTTTACTGTGTATACTGATGCCAGTGACTCAGGACTAGGGGCTGTTTTGACCCAGCGTAAAGAGCAGGGTGGCGAAGAAGTGATTGCTTATGCCAGTAGAACCTTGACTAAGGCAGAAGTGAATTACTCCACCACGGAGAAAGAGTGTCTGGCTGTGGTGTGGGCTTTAGACAAGTGGCAACACTACCTGGAACCTAGAATGTTTACAGTGGTTACAGACCATTCCGCTCTGCAATGGGTCATGAATTCCACCAAACCAGCCAGTCGACTCATGAGATGGGCCTTGCGCTTGCAACGCTATGATTTTGTGATCGAGTACAGAAAAGGACGGCTGAATGTTGCTCCTGATGCGTTGTCCCGTATGTATTCCATGCCAGGCTGTAACTTGTACACCACGGAAAAGGATCTGCCTGATTTCCCTGTCACCCCACAAACCATCTGGGAGGAACAACATCAAGACACAGACATTATGAAGATCTTTCAAGCTCTGGCCAAAAATGAGCAACAGGAACAAGCCCAGTACACTGTGTTGGAAGACAAGCTGTATCACATCACCCACCTAGCAGATGAAACTGTTCACTACAAAGTAGTCATTCCATCTACTCTTAGACCAACAGTACTGGAATGGTACCATGATACTCCCTTAAGCGGACACTTGGGAATTTACAAGACGTACAAGCGTATACAAGATGTTGCTTATTGGCCAGGAATGTGGACAGACATAAAAAAATATGTCAAAAATTGTGCCAAATGTCAAGTCACCAAATGGGATAACCGGAAACCTGCTGGCAAGTTACAACAAGTTACAACATCACGACCAAATGAGATGTGGGGAGTGGATATAATGGGTCCAATGCCGAAGTCTGGAAAACAAAATGAGTACTTACTCGTATTTGTCGACTATTTCTCCAAATGGGTTGAACTGTTTCCCATGCGGCATGCCACAGCACAGACCATTGCCACCATACTAAGACAAGAAATGTTGACTCGGTGGGGAGTCCCTGACTTCATATTGTCAGACAGAGGAGCGCAGTTTGTTTCTTCTTTATTCACAGAGCTGTGTGGAAAATGGAACATCACTCCAAAACTTACCACTGCTTATCACCCACAGACCAACATGACAGAAAGAGTGAATCGCACTCTGAAGTCTATGATTGCAGGGTTTGTGGAGGACAACCACAAGACCTGGGATACATATTTACCAGAGTTACGTTTTGCTTTAAATTCTGCAATACAGGAATCCATTGGGATGACGCCTGCCGAACTTCACCTAGGTCGGAAAATCCACAGTCCCATGGATAAACTGCTGCACAGACGTGATCTCTCACCAACCAAGCCTGCATACGACATGGTACACAAAATAATACAGTTACAAAGGCAAGCCAAAGAAAATTACACAAAAGCTCAAAAACGGCAGTTAAGGAGCTATGACAAGAACAGAAGAGACGTGTTCTTCAGAGAAAGAGAGCGTGTATGGGTCCGTAATTTTCCCATCTCTAGTGCACAACATCACTTCAGTGCTAAACTAGCTCCAAAGTGGAAAGGACCATACCGCATTATCCAGCAGCTAGGTCCTGTGAACTACCAGGTATCTCTTGAAGACACTGGTGAGGATGTGAGAAATGTTCATGTGTGTAATCTTAAACCATGTTTTCCCACGGCAGAGGAGCTGGAAGCAAGGGAGAAAAATTGCACAAAGATCCTCCCACAGCAGGATCAAAAAAGATTTTAAAAATGTAAATCCTCGTGAGCATTGAACAACATGGGTTGTTCTCACGAAGGGGGGGAGAGTGTGGCGAGATGGATGCTTTTTATTGTTTATTTTTCTCAAGTGCCACTAGGGGGCGCTGCTCCGACCGGTCCTTCCTATCGCTTCCAGACAATACTTCCGGGGGTCGGGAGGAAGCGGAAGGGCAGGTAAACAATCGGAGATTATAAAAGAGGAAGAAAAGGCCAGAGAAGGGGCTTCTGGTTGTTTTGGTGTCGGGTATTTAGTGGCAAGAATTGGAGAAAGAGGAGAAGAACGGTGTAAGGTGGAGAGCTTGTTGGTTTCAATGACTGTGTGAGGAAAAAACTGAGGGGTGGAAGCAATTCGTGGACGTGGTGACCAGGCGATCTCTAGTATTGTGTGCGAGGGGTCTGAAATTCTGATGGGAAAAGTGGACCTGTGCAGAACGGATTCGGTGTCCCTGGGTCAGTAACTTTTGTCCATTTGCATCCATTCATACACCCACACATTCCACACACACATTACAACGTTATCACATAGGCTTTCTTTACATTTTTTCCCTCTCTTGTTTCCAGTCGATCAGCCACACATTATTATTGTTTGTTTGTTTGTTTGTTTGTTTGTTTGTTTTCTTTTGGGTTATCTAAACATTATTATTGAAGTGTTTGAATTGTTTGTTTGATGTTTCCTTTTGTTACCTAAGAAGTGCTAATTTTGACTATGATCTATGACTGAACAGTGATTAAAAGTATATATTTTGATTTTGAAAACCTTTTTGTTGTACTGCTTGTTAAAAATATACCAGTTAATTTAATTTAAAGTGTGTGTTGGGTAATCTTTATTTTCTTCTCTTTGTGTGTATGGTGGTTAAGTGTTTGCCGCGGCTATCCAGGGTTTTAATTTAATTTTTGGCAAGTTAATCTTGTCTGGCGCCCAAAGATTTATTAATTTTGGTAACTATTTATTTTTTTTTTTTGTTTGAGGTCCGCTGGCAGTGGGATTAAGGGACGTGTGAAAGTCAGGTAGTGCAGTACCCACGTGGACCAGCGGTTGAGCGTTCGGCTGCGGTGCAGGAAGTCCCGTGTTCGAATCCCGCGGAGTTCAGTTTTTGAGATTTGAATTATTATTTTTTTTTCTTATTATAAACTGTATATAAGATTTATTTATTACAAACAACCACCGTCACAGGGTTAGTCACTCATCCCACTTGACTCTGTTACGTAAATGCAAGCAAGTAACTGTTTCTTCAGTACTCTCTGAAGTGGCAGGTAGAAGAAAAGCAATGGAGGATTCTTCATGGATTTGTACCAAAGGGCGGCAAGGAAGTTGTAAGTGGAGTAGCCAACCACTTTTTAAATACAAAATAGCTCTCTCCTCAGCAGGTTCTGTTTCTTCTCAGTGTTAACATGCCTGCTGCTCAATCTGGAATGTGTAATGGATTTTAAGTGTTTGTGACAAAAAGTCTCTTTACCAAGCAAATTAAACAGAACCGTACGGTTCTCCAGGGGTTAATGAGGATCCATGTTGTGTGCCTTAAATGAATGCAGCTCTATCAGATTTTTGTTGTTTGTGTTCTGCTGACGGAAGGAGGAGCCAGACAGGAACCCAGAGATCATCCATGACAAAGCCCATTGTGTAGTTGAGGGAATAGGAGATGAACAGCCAGGGTGACAGCCAAGGCAGAGGCTGAGGGCCGATGTGGAGCCAAGGGGAAGGAATAGCCCAATGGTACCAGGAAGCAAGAAGGGGACAAGCCACGGCTAGAGAAGTCCAGAGGTGGATGCAGGTGCACAACTGACCAAGGTGGAGCCGAAGAGAAGAGGAAGCCTGATGGAGCTGGTGAGCCACAAATAAAGACAAGGGAGTATGGAGCCAATAGGTTGAAGGGCCAAGATGCAGACAGGGGGAGTGCACTGGTGACTAGAAGTCCCAAGAATAATCATTACCAGAAGGTGAAGTTGGCTGAGGCTGAGATGAGGGGGTTATAGGGGCCAGTAGAGACAGGGCTGGATGACGGTGGTGATGAAGGTGGTGAAATCACCAGAAAAATGAAGTTCTTAGTGTGGCCTTTGAGGGACTGATCTCCATGCTACATGCAAAAAAAATCTAATGGAGGATATCCAAAATAAAAGCAGCAAATCCTTTTTTTCTGTCTGGTCTTTGTCACAGAAGGTGATTGGGAACAAACATCATGCCACACATCACCACCACAATCATGACAAAGTGTTGTCACACTATGTTTAATGCCAATGAGTATACGTTACTCTTGAACTCTTTGGGGGGAAACTTATTATCCCCTACCCTACTCAAAACCCTGCTCTACTTATCGAGAAAGCGGGAAGCCAGTGAAGTAAGGGCAGTAATTACACATTGATGTAATATGTTCTCACTCTATCATGTAAATAACAAACATACAAACTAACAATGACAAGAAACAGAACAAATGGGGACGCAAAACAGGAACAACACATGGCAGGGGTCTGTGGAAGCATAAGAATTATTCTGACTGTTGTATATAATGTAACACTCATTGTCAGAGTACACAGACACTAATATTATCTTCTTTTTTTGCTTAGATATTTATACACTCGTCAGATTGATGTATCCACAACATCCGCTCAGTGTCTCCATCAGCTGGCGTTCATCTTTGGAGTGAAGAAGCTCATGGAGGATGTTGGCAGGGTCTTAACTGCACTCATTCCTGAAGACAACACCTTCCAGACGCAGGTGTCAATGTACGAGTATGGCGTGCGCACAGGTGACCTTGTCCTCCAGGAGAACGTTCTCCAGTATCTTTCCTGGAACTGCGAGTTCCTCATAAGCTCTCCAGTGTGGAGCACCGTCTCCTTTGACATGATGGATGCTCTGCTGCAGCGCTCAGACCTGATTGTGGAGGACGAAGCTTTACTTCTTGAAGCTCTGGAAAGATGGATCCAAGACATGGGTGACAAGATTAGTTCAGAAAAGCAGGTCAGCCTCCTGAATCACATCCGCTTCCTCTTAATCCCAGTAGATAAACTCTATGACATGCAATTTTCCTCAAGTGCTCTCCGTCAGAGTAATGAGACACTGTATCTGACTGGACTGCTCAGAGGATTTCAGTTCAACGCTCTTCCCTTCTCTAAGATCAGGAAGCAAATAGATAACACAAGTAGTGAGTTTCTACCTAGAATCTACACAGGAGATGAGTGGAGTGTATGCATCAATGACACAACTGTCAGTAACCCGTATTATAATTACAGAAACAATAGAATCAAGTCTTTTTCCACTCCTGCACATCCTAGTGTTCTATACAAAGATCAGAAGGTCCAGTGGCAAGCCCAAGTTTTTCTTACTGGCCAGGAATGCTCTAACTCTGGTATTTTGTGTAATACTTTGCCTGTTGCAAAGTTTTTTGGATATGGCAATCTGTACAGTTACTCCAGCACCATTCGCTACAACAGCAGGTTGGTTCTTACCTGTAAAAATCAGAATAATGTCTTCCATGTGCAAGAATTTAAAAACGACATGGCAGTGATTCCAACTAACAGCAGTATGGGTCTGCCGAACCCCTGTCCAGATGACTACAGCTTCAGATTTGTTGTCCGTCCACAGTATATATGAATGCTCTGAGATTTGCTTTCCTACCATCATTTTAATATTCATTTAAATTTAGTTCAATCAAATCCACTAAATTCAATGAAGTCTCCTTTTTTAAAAGTTGTTGTTATTCATTATCGAGTGGCATTTGTCATTTGTTTCAGATGGTTTTAAACCTTTCCTTTCAATATATCAGAAATAAAATGGCTTAACTTTAAACAGCTACATCAATGATAAAATAAAAATACAGTTTTGATTCGAGTGTGAGATCTTTTACTGTTTGATGTTAAGAAATGTAATTTTCAAAACTAATAAAATGATTAGGGTGTCACGGTGGCACAGTGGGTAGCACGATCGCCTCACAGCAAGAAGATCGCTGATTTAAGCCCCAGCTGGGTCAGTTGGCATTTCAATGTAGAGTTTGCATGTTCCTCCCATGTTCACGTGGGTTTCCTCCGGGTGCTCTGGTTTCCCCACAGTCCAAAGACATGTACTATAGGTGAATTGAATAAGTTAAATTGGCCATAGTGTATGTGTGTGAATGCGAGAGTGTATGGGTGTTTCCCAGTTTTGGGTTGTGACTGGAGAGGCATCAGATGCGTAAAACATTTGCTGGATAAGTTGAGTGGCGTTTTAATTTATTAAAATTTCATGCACTTCATTATCGCATTAGGCTCTCTGTTGGTAATCATGTGCACTCTCCACTTAGTTGAAGCACAAGGCATTGTGTTTATATTCAAATAAGCTGTAGGAATAATTCTCTCATTATTTTTGAGACAATAGCTGCGTCCAAAACTTAAGTTAATTGACTTAAGTTAAAAAACATTTTTCTTAAGTCTTCAGTAAAGCCACTAGAGCAGGATGGCCAACCCTGTTCCTGGAGATCAACCTTGCTGCAGATTTCAGTTGCTACCCATATCAAACACACCTGAACCAATTAATTAGGACCTGAACACCATGTCATAATTACAGGCAGGTGTGTTTGATATGGGTTGCAACTGAAATCTGCAGGAAGGTGGCTCTCCGGGAACAGGGTTGGCCACCCCTGCACTAGAGCACTCTACACCTCCGATCAATTCTTTCATATTCGCCAAAGAACATCCACCATCTCTGCATACACTCTTCAGTTCCTGACTTGGCAGAAACTGGCTGATGGAATGAAAAATCCCTACACAATCCCTACCATCAAGGTTTGAATCTAGAATTCCAATCTTCAGTATTCCGTAAACTTTATGTATCATACAGCTTATATCAGATAGTCTTCATCTCACACTAATATATGTCTGTCTTCTCTCATTATCTGAGGTTCATCTGGTAACTTCATCAACCAAGAAAACCTAAATCAACTCCAACTCAAAGCCATGAATACAAACTCCCTGCGAAAATAATTCAATTATCGGACACAAGATGGTAAATTATTGCTCGCAGCTAGTCGAAATAAGGTTTCTGATACTGGAGAGCTCCACCATTGATGACATCTTGGGAAGTCCTTGGTTGTCAAAAAATTCCCCAGTGTTCAGATGGCACCCTTCCTAATGTTGCTTCTACATTAATTGTAGGCCCTTAGTTCGCAAAATCCCCAGAAGTCCCATCTGGATACATGGAGTTCCAGAATGTATTCAGGCAGCAAACCAGCTTACCCCTTATCTGCCATAGGATCTCTTGCCTGGAACCAAATCCCCAAAGGACCATGTATCCCTTGTCCTTCCCTGAGGCAAGATGATAGTAGAATGCATGGAGCTTAATGCTTCATTGTAATATCAACCTTATTGGCTGCTTTGACCTTCTTTCTTGAGGGAAAAAAGGGATGGGGATCACGTCTGTGTATTGAATACTGAACCCTAAACTCTCAGAATTTCCTACTACTTTATCCTTTTACCGTGGTCACAGTTGCCTTAAAGGGCCATGAAACCCCCTCGTTTCAGCAGGGTGTTTTCACACCTCTACTTTGGAAAAAGTCAGAAAAGTGGGCGTGTCCAGCTCTGTTTAGGGGGGAGTGTCGGAGGAACTAAAGTGGGAGGGTGTGAGAGTGTCTATTTGGGCACGCGCGAGTTTCAGTCAAAATACTCACACACAGGAGAAAGTGATGGTGTTTATCCTACATGGACATCTGTAGTCGAATTATTTGCCAAATTATTAAATAGGGGACTTTAACTGCAGTTTGGCTCTTTCATTCAGGGAATTCATTCATGCCCCTCGTGACAAACGAGATATTTGATTCGAGGATCTGCTGTAAGCGTGTATTTTTCATGCAATTTTTGATACCGCACGGCGAATGAGAGAAAAAAAAACCTCAGCATTTTCCGGAAACTTAGATGCTCACGGCAGGTAGTGTCAGAAAGCCGCATGTGTTATTCCGGTCACAAAATGCGGTTAAAAACCCTACACGAGGTTAAAGTTTGGTTTGGGTCCTAACATGTTACGGTGCAATAGTTAACTTAGTTCCATACGAACAAACTGTATAAACAAAGAGCACTAGTCTCTCACTTACCAAATCTGTAGAGACAGGACAATCCCCAGCAACTAGAGCCGCGTCTTTATGAAGAGAATACTACAAGCGAATCCGATCTCAGCGTTTACAGATGAGAACAGCTCTCAGGTAAACAATGTTCCTCCTTAGACACGTAAGTTATTGTTGTCGAGCGTCGCGTACACTGTTAATCCACACGTGAGTCTGAGCTCTCACAGAGAGAAAAAGAAAACGAAACTTAACGGCAGCAAACTATAAAAGCAACACTTCACGCTTGTTTTGCTAACACAACGTGGCGTCTATGTTGTGTAAACACAGTAATGAATATTAATGAAGTTGCACAATAAAGCGCGCTGATTGGTTTGAACCAAGCCTTACTCATGCATTAATGCATCACACTGTAAGACGTAATAAGACTCACTCTGGCACAGACGCCCAGTCTGCACGCTGGAATACACGCTATTATCTCATAGCCGTGACGCAGCTTCAAAAATTCGTTTCAAACAGGAAGTACGAATTTGCTTGAAATAACGCAAAAACAACCAATTTACACTTTTTAGTGAAATATAGGTGTCCTAATAGTGTTTTTAGCAGTGTGGGACACATATACGACTGTCAACAGCTCAAAAAATGTGTTTTGGTGTTTCGTGACCCTTTAAACAAGTTCTTCAGCAGCTAAGAGGCTCAAATTGAGCATCTATGCCCACAAGGCTTTCAGTATGGCTATTATGCTCCATCATCCAGATTCTCAGCTCCCTCATAGTCGAGGTTGATGCTTTCACCACAGGATCAGGGTCAGGGTTGTGCTGTCTCAGTACCCCAACAAACTGTCCCCCAATGGAACAAAGTTGCAACATCTGTAATCGAGAACAGGACACCCATTCACTGTCATTGACAGTCACAATAATTGCAATATCGCATTGAGGTCAAGTTCTTGAAACCCCAACAGGCTGTTTGTGTCCTATTCTTTACCACGTTTTATTATGTCATCACTAACTGATTAGGATCCAAGAATTGCAATGCTGGTGCACTTTCCAGACTGTTGTCCAAAGATGATCCCAAAGAACCTGAATCCATTATCCAATGTACCCTTATTGCAAGTCCCATTCAACGGAGTATGCAGAAAGACATCTGTGCCACCACCCTCTTGGAACACTGCTCTGCCGGGATGCAGGAAAGGTACAACTTTTGTACCATCATCATAATGGCCAAACCTTCTGAGCTCAGTACACAGCAATCCAGGCTCTAGACATCAAGACATCAGACAGACCCTCTTGCTCCTTCAAGCACTGTACTGCTGGCCCAGAAATAGCCAGGATCAGGTACATCTGAAGTTACTAAACCTGCACCATGTCAAAACACCTTTATATTTGACTGTAAACTCATTCCCCTCCCTGTCCCACATTTGGTATTGACTTTGCAACTGACCTACACATTCGTCCAGTTTCGTGTTTCTCTCTTTAAAACCTCTCTCTCCGCCACACAAATCCCCAGAGCTAATACAAATGCCAGTACAAAAGAAACAAATTACTTTCATTTTTCTAGAAATGATGGCTTTAAAATGGGTGAATCCTACTGACTGATGTATAATATTTAACAAATATAGAGTTAATTTAATGCATGCATATAATTGAAAACTATAACATGCTTTGATGATTATTTTTTCAGTATATGAAAATGAACTCTGCAACATATATCTAGACATTTTTAGCCTACTGTACTTTTTGTTTGTTTGTTTTGTTTTTTACTCTACAGTTTCAACTTCATGGCTAACTTTGCTTTCTGTTTCCTTTCTTGCAATTCTGACTTCAATCCCCTGACTAAATCTCCTGACAATGATTATAACTCTGAGTTCGCTTGATGTCAGAATGTTTTTCATTTTAAAATGTATATAAGCAACACTAAGTCTCATTGGAAAGTGACTACAAGATATTGAACTTTTGTTTGCAGATTTCATTCTACAGTGATAATTTGGGATACTTAACCCAAAAATGAAAATTCTGCCAAAATTGATGCACTCTCCACTTGTTGCAAACCTTATTTGAGTTCCTTTCTTCTGCTGAACACAAAAGAATATACACAAATGGCTTGTCGTTGATCCCAGTTCAAAGAGCAACAAATAAAAACTTGACTTCTAGTTGATTATCTGAAAATGTTGCAGAAGGTTTCCCCCATGAATCATCCGTTGAACTGCATCCTAATCATCACAAATACTGCAGAAGACCTATAGAACCGACATGGACCCAAGATTCTCACAGAAATCAGTCAAGTTTGGTGAAGGAAAAATCATGGTTTGGGGTTATGTTCATCATGGGGCTTGCAAGAGATCTGAGGAGTAGATGGCACATCAACAGCCTGAGGTATCAAGACATTTGTGCTGCCCATTACATTACAAACCACACAAGAGCAAATTCTCCAGCAGGATAGCGCTCCTTCTTATACTTCAGCCTCCACATCAAAGCTCCTGAAAGCTAAGAAGGTCAAGGTGCTCCAGGATTGGCCAGCCCAGTCACTAGACATGAAGATTATTGAGCATGTCTGGGGTAAGATGAAGGAGGATTCCAAAGAATCTTGATGGAGCTCTGGGAGTCCTGCAAGAATGCTTTCTTTGCCATATCAGAACTTCATTAAGTTATTGGAGTCATTGCAGAGATGTATGGATGCAGTCCTCCAAGCTCATGGGAGTTATACACAATATTAATTATTTTCCCACTGCGCCATGACTTTATATTCCATACCAGGGATCACCAAACTTGTTCCTGGAAGGCCGGTGTCCTGCAGATTTTAGCTCCAACCCTAATCAAACACATTTGAACAAGCTAATGAAGGTCTTACTAGGTATACTTGAAACACCCAGGCAGGCATGTGTGTTGAGGCAAGTTGGAGCTAAACCCCGCAGGGCACCGGAGCTCAAGGAACGAGATTGTTGACCCCTGTTCTATACTGTACACTATTTCTGTTAAGTGAAAAGACTTTTGTCTAAGCAAAGTCGGACCTTACTGTCCTAATTAATTAAAATTCATTCATGATCATCTTTTATTTTGTTGAAATAAGCGTAATCTAGAGGCCTTTGCCTTTCATATAAACCACTTCTGATACCAAATGATCAACTAGAAGTCAAGTTATTATTTATTGTTCCCAAAACTTGGATAGGTGACTTTTGTCAGGTGGTGTATTTTGAAGAATGTTGGAAACTGGCAATCATTGACTTCAATAGTGTGTAAAACAATTACCATGGCTTGACAAATATTAAGCCAATGGTTACACACTGAAAAAAGTGTTGTATGCAGAACTGTTGCAATCATTTTTTTACTTGTGTGAATTTAAACAAACTAATTAAGTTTAATAATGTTCAACTTAATTAGTTTGTTTAAATTCAGCCTGGCGAGGCAGTGGCGCAGTAGGTAGTGCTGTTGCCTCACAGCAAGAAGGTCGCTGGGTCGCTGGTTCGAACCTTGGCTTAGTTGGTGTTTCTGTGTGGAGTTTGCATGTTCTCCCTGCCTTTGCGTGGGTTTCCTCTGGGTACTCTGGTTTCCCCCACAGTCCAAAGACATGTGGTACAGGTGAATTGGGTAGGCTAAATTGTTCGTAGTGTGTGTGTGTGGATGTTTCCTAGAGATGGGTTGCGGCTGGAAGGGCATCTGCTGCGTAAAAACTTGCTGGATAAGTTGGTGGTTCATTCCGCTGTGGCGACTGTGGATTAATAAAGGGACCAAGCTGACAAGAGAATGAATGAATGAATAAATTCAGCCCAAATAAATTGTTTACCACCACTTAACATAAAAAAATTTAGTAAACTCAAGGAATTTTCTTTGAATATTATTTTTCAGTGCAGGTTTCCAACATTCTTTAATAAATCATCTTTTGTGTTCAACGAAACTACAAAATAACTCAAACTGGATTGAAACAAGGGTGATGAATGATGACAGAATTTACATTTTTGTATAAACAATTCCTTTAACTTTACATTTTATAAATATTTATTTACAGATTACCTTCTCATCTGTGTGATATGGGTTCATTCAATGCCAACAATTTTGGAATACAGATTTATTTTTTGGCTTACGCAATACTCTAACTCTTATATAAATCATATACGACAGAAGTAAGCTGAAGTCCAACACCCAGGATTTACAGGGACTTACATATGAAGAAAGCAGTGAAGGTAAACAGCCAGGTTTGTTTAAATAAAGACTTGAGAACCTCCTTTCTTGCATAGCATAAAACTGTATTGTCTTTCGTAGAATTTAAGTCACTCAAACATTCTTTGTTTGAACCTGTAATTCAAGTTATCAAATATTTTCGCATGAAATGAAACGTAAGGTAGTCCTCAAATTTGATTGGACGGTGCTAGATCATGCATTGTGATGTTGCACACAATGCTTGACCTGATTCGGCGGATATTTAATAGAAAGGCAAGAGGTTTCGTGAGTCTTTCAGTGGGAACGTTCTTCTGTTGAGTCTCAAGCTAGAATGATCATGTATATTATATGGGCATTGCTGTTTATTCCTGTGTCGGCTCAGCAATGGACTCTGTTTGGTTAGTATATAAATGTTCATGAATGACTTGCATTACTGTATGCATGTGAACTTTTTATAGGCTATGCATATGGCATCTATTGTATTTAAATACATGCATAGTACAAAAGTGCTAATCTAGACTTCGTTTCACAAGTTTCTGTTTTGTTTACTGTGAGTTGAGCACATTTTGATCACCTGATTGAAGGAGTTTTTGGTTTGTGGCAGATGAGCAGGCAAAGCCTAAGCGGGAGGGCAGAGTAAGACTGGTTGGAGGTCTTTCCTCATCTGGCCGTGTGGAGGTCTACCATGATGGACAGTGGGGTACAGTCTGTGATGATGGATGGGATCTGGCTGAAGGGCAGGTGGTGTGTCGTCAGCTGGGTTTTCCTGGAGCCGTATCAGTTGCTTCTGGAGGGCAATATGGTGAAGGTACATGTACAGCCTGAGGAAGAGAATTTGAATCTTATATGTTGATGTTTCACACTGTGTTAAACTGCAATGCCATTTGGGTTGAAGTTCTCTGGGTTAAAGAAAGTGTTCAGTTTAGAAGTGGGGTTAGTGCTGGGGTTTTTAAGAAAACCCTGGGTATTAAGACGTGTGTTGACAGCCATTTTAACCCCTATTTTTAACCCTGGGTAAAGAAATGAGGATTAGTCCTGCTTTTTTACCCTGCGATATGAAACCATCAACATTGCACTGCCAAAGTTGTAGCCTACAGTGTGAAATGACACTGTGCTTAAAAAAAAAAAATTACAGTAAGACGCCTACAGATGATTGCATACATACAGCTGAAGTCAAAGTTATTAGCCCCCCTTTGAATTCTGAATTTTTCTTTTTTTAAATATTTCCCAAATGATTTTTAACAGATTTAGGAAATTTTCACAGTATGACTGATAATATTTTTTCTTCTGGAGAACGTCTTATTTGTTTTATTTGGACTAGAATAAAAGCAGTTTTTAATTTTTTAAACACCATTTTAAGGACAAAATTATTAGCCCCTTTAAGCTATGTTTTTGTTTGATAGTTTACAGAACAAGCCATCGTTATACTATAACTTGCCTAATTACCCTAACCTGCCTAGTTAACCTAGTTAAGCCTTTAAATGTCACTTTAGGCTTTATAGAAGTGTCTTGAAAAATATCTAGTCAAATATTATTTACTGTCATCATGGCATATCCACCTTAGATTTATTGGATTCAATGTGCGAAAAAATATATTGACCCAAAAATTTGTACCTCAATACATAAAATAAAACATACCACAGTAGGTTTCGTAAGGCTATTCAATGTACATAATAATTTTAAAGTTATTATATGTGACATTATCCATAAGTGAGGTTTATTTATAAACTAATTTCGAGAGGTCACATGCTTACGTACCCTTGGGGCTGGTCCCGCATCATCTAATTTATGATTCACCAATCAGACGATTCTTAAGTCACTATAAATGCGCCAAGTTCCATAACACAGCCATCTTCGTTCTGATGAATCCCCCCTTCCACCCCTACTCCTCCTCCTCCTTTCCTAGATGGGTGGCACGGTGGCCCAGTGGTTAGCTTTGTTGCCTCACAGCAAGAATGTCACTGATTCTAGTCCTTACCAAGCCAGTCGACATTTCTGTGTGGAGTTTATACATTCACCCTGTGCTCACGTGGGTTTCCCCTGGTTTCCTGCCACCATCCAAAAACATGCAACTTTCCTTAATTGATGATTAATTAATGCAAATCGCACCATAGACATGCTCCTAGTAAGTAGTTATCTCTTAAGAGCAATCACTATCTGTCCATTACCTAGGCAAGGCAAGGCAAGGCAAGTTTATTTATATAGCACATTTCATACACAGTGGCAATTCAAAGTGCTTTACATAAACAGGAATAAAAAAGACAAGTTTAGGAACATAAAATGCAGACAATAAAAATTATTAAAAACAGATAAAAACAAATTAAAATGAGTTAAAATAGGTTATAAAACCTACTACCTACTACAGCAGGAGAGTTCTCGAGATCTACCTGCTCTACGAGCTCGAACTCCCCTCTCGCCTTGCAAACAGGAGGGAGCCCCAGGCTCGAGGATCTTATGACCTCAGGGCTCTCTTCCGAGACAGCAAAAAAAAAAAAATGAGAGAAACCAGGCTCAGTTGTTCATGACCATTTCTCCTCTGGCCAAACTTCTTGTGAAGAGCTGCAGTCTAGGCGCTGGAGGCTGGAGAAACGCTGGATGTCCATCATGGAGAAGCTGCAGGTCTGAGTTGTTCACCGGCGGGTCTGGCTGGCCCATAAACTATAACAAAAAATGTTACAGGCTTCTCTTATAAAAACATAATTTAAAAAATTTATTTTCTGATCTTGTACAGCAGCGTTAGCATTAGCTATTAGCTGTAGCTCTGCCTTTAAGTATTTAAAGTTTTGTTTTAGACTGAAGACCTTGATGAACTGGTTAAGGTGTGTTGAAGCTCTGCAGGGCAATTAGCAAACCTCCAAGGAAAGGTTTGGACGCCTTGGGCTAAAGAGACACAGAATGTTAGACTTTATTTAAACCTGTTGCTTGCTACTTTTGTCAAATCAATGCCAAATACATTCATATGCAAATATGATATTGTTATTGAAGCATTTAAATTTTTGTTTTAGATGAAAGACCTTGATGAACTGGTTTAGGTGTGTTGGAGCTCTGCAGGGGAATGTGCAAACCTCTAAGAACTGGTTTGGACTTCTTTCGCTAACGAGACACACAATGTTAGAGCCTTTATTTAAACATGTTGCTTGCTGCTTTCGCCAAATCAAGGCCAAATACATTCATATGCAAATACCGTAAGATATTGTTATTCCAGGGTTTAGCAACTATACAGTGTTTCAACCATCACCAAGTTGTAAGAAAAATGAGAAGACAACAACAACAACAACAAACATAGTGAAAGTCAGTAGTGAAAGTATGCATGGACTTTAATTGTGGAATTGAAACTAACCTCAAACCAATGTAAAGGCAAGCAGCACAACTAGATATGATGGTATACTTGCACCTCTCACGCCAAATCTTTATACAGAATCTTCCTTGATAATCCTCGGGTGAAACAAAGCACCAACAACCATTTAAAACACATCCCACCTGTAAATGAAAAACAAATCAAACAAAAAACAAACACAGGCCCAGCATTCAATAGGACCTAACATTTTCAGCATGGATCAATGTGTCCCAACATTGGTCCCAACCCTGTTCCTGGAGACACCAACAGTACAAATTTGTATGACGGAATCAGATCCAATACGTAGTAGACATTGTTACGCTCTATTGGACCTGATTCCATCATACAAATTTTTACTGTTGGTGTCTCCAGGAACAGGGTTGGGACATAACTGTGATGGTTGGATTTAAGTTTGGGGAAGGTGTAGCAGTTAATAACTATGATGGTTGGGTTTAGGGTTGGGGTAGGTGTAGACGTCAATAACTAATGGTTAGATTTAGGTTTAGGGAAGGTTTTGTCATTATTAACTATGGTGGTTGGGTTTAGGGTTGGGGACAGTGTAGATGTGTAGTGTATATGTCCCCTTCTAGGAGTCTGTGGGGTGTGGGGGCTGTGGCGGAGTGACCTGAAGGGGTGCCTGGTCTGTCCTATGCACCGGGCAGATTGTTTAAAACACCTGAGGACTGGGGGAAGGGGGTGAAATTCTGGGAGTTTTCCGGGAGAAATGACAAAACAGGAAATGGGTCTGAAATACGGGAGACTCCCAGGAAAAATGGAAGTGTTGGCAGGTATGGTTGGGTGACATCAATAACTATGTTGGTTGGGTTTTAGGGTTGGGGTAGGTGTAGACATTAATAACTGTGATGGTTGCGTTTTTCGTTGGGGTTGGTGTAGACATTAATATATGATGGTTGGGATTAGGGTTGGGGAAGGTGTAGACGTTAATAACTGTGATGGTTGGGTTTAGGGTTGGGGAAGGTGTAGACGTTAATAACTGTGATGGTTGGGTTTAGGGTTGGGAAAGGTGTAGACATTAATAACTGTGATGGTTGGGTTTAGGGTTGGGGAAGGTGTAGACGTTAATAACTGTGATGGTTGGGTTTTGGGTTGGGGAAGGTGTAGACGTTAATAACTGTGATGGTTGGGATTAGGGTTGGGGAAGGTGTAGACGTTAATAACTGTGATGGTTGGGTTTAGGGTTGGGGTAGGTGTAGACATTAATAACTGTGATGGTTGGGTTTAGGGTTGGGGAAGGTGTAGACGTTAATAACTGTGATGGTTGGGTTTAGGGTTGGGGAAGGTGTAGACATTTATAACTGTGATGGTTGGGTTTTGGGTTGGGGAAGGTGTAGACGTTAATAACTGTGATGGTTGGGATTAGGGTTGGGGAAGGTGTAAACGTTAATAACTGTGATGGTTGGGATTAGGGTTGGGGAAGGTGTAGACGTTAATAACTGTGATGGTTGGGTTTAGGGTTGGGGAAGGTGTAGACGTTAATAACTGTGATGGTTGGGATTAGGGTTGGGGAAGGTGTAGACATTAATAACTGATGGTTGGGTTTAGGGTTGGGGAAGGTGTAGACATTTATAACTGTGATGGTTGTGTTTAGGGTTGGGGAAGGTGTAGACATTAATAACTGTGATGGTTAGGTTTAGGGTTGGGGAAGGTGTAGACATTAATAACTGTGATGGTTGGGTTTAGGGTTGGGGAAGGTGTAGACGTTAATAACTGTGATGGTTGGGTTTAGGGTTGGGGAAGGTGTAGACGTTAATAACTGTGATGGTTGGGTTTAGGGTTGGGGAAGGTGTAGACGTTAATAACTGTGATGGTTGGGTTTAGGGTTGGGGAAGGTGTAGACGTTAATAACTGTGATGGTTGGGTTTAGGGTTGGGGAAGGTGTAGACATTAATAACTGTGATGGTTGGGTTTAGGGTTGAGGAAGGTGTAGACGTTAATAACTGTGATGGTTGGGTTTAGGGTTGGGGAAGGTGTAGACAATAATAACTGTGATGGTTGGGTTTAGGGTTGGGGTAGGTGTAGACATTAATAACTGTGATGGTTGGGTTTAGGGTTGGGGTAGGTGTAGACATTAATAACTGTGATGGTTGGGTTTAGGGTTGGGGAAGGTGTAGACGTTAATAACTGTGATGGTTGGGTTTAGGGTTGGGGAAGGTGTAGACGTTAATAACTGTGATGGTTGGGTTTAGGGTTGGGGAAGGTGTAGACGTTAATAACTGTGATGGTTGGGTTTAGGGTTGGGGAAGGTGTAGACGTTAATAACTGTGATGGTTGGGTTTAGGGTTGGGGTAGGTGTAAACGTTAATAACTGTGATGGTTGGGTTTAGGGTTGGGGAAGGTGTAGACGTTAATAACTGTGATGGTTGGGTTTAGGGTTGGGGAAGGTGTAGACGTTAATAACTATGATGGTTGGGTTTAAGTTTGGGGAAGGTGTAGACGTTAATAACTATGATGGTTGGGTTAAGGTTTGGGGAAGGTGTAGACGTTAATAACTATGTTGGTTGGGTTTTAGGGTTGGGGTAGGTGTAGACATTAATAACTGTTATGGTTGCGTTTATGGTTGGGGTAGGTGTAGATGTTAACACCGCACAATGTAATTGGTCATTTAATCATTTATAATAATAATTCTCATTTCTAGAAACAACTGCTTGCACATGCATGTTCACTATGTATTGGACCTGATGTGTTACATCATCGTGCTAAAGGCTGCAGTGAGGACATACTCCAAGGAACAGGGTTGGGAAACAGTGGCATAGATTTTCAGTTGCTAACCTTGAATAAGTTTTGTGCTGGCCAAGTTAAGACAACATACAAATGACTGTGGCTCAGCTAACTATTGTGAATACAGCATGTTTATGTTTTATTGTATTTTTAGGGTCTGGTCCAATCTGGCTGGATGATATGAACTGTAAAGGCTCAGAGAGCATATTGTCTGAATGCTGCTTTAAAGGCTGGGGTGTCAATGACTGCACACATCAAGAGGACGCTGGAGTGGTTTGTGACACTGGTAAGACACCTACTGGATCATAAAGAAATCGCATGCTTTTTTTGTAAGAAAGGGTTAAGCCTAGTGGTACTGTTTTCTGGCTGTATTTGTTAGTAATTTGCAATATTTATTTAAGCACTAGCCTATGCCATATTTCTCAGTTAAAGAAAATTGAATAAGTGTGCCCCATCCATGGCTAAATCATATCTGTCTTCCACTAGTGGGCGCTGTTACATGCAAATTTATAAGAATTCACAATAATGAATCTTCATGAAATCCATGTTCATCTATAGACACATCAACGTTTCAAATCTTCTGAGAAGTCTAATATTTCATAGCATTAACAGATTCCCTTTTATCCAATGTCACATATTTCTTCCCACAGAATTATTCCAGCATATTTGTTATTAAAATACCACTTTCTGTAGCCATTACCTTTTTCTAATCTTTCATCCCAGGCACAGTCTCAATTATTAAATGTATAGCATCAGCAATGTGGCTGCTCTCTGGTTTGTCCGCCTATTGGATACCTACAGCACAATGCACCTCCATCTGCCCTGCTACTGCACACCTGACATACACTAGCTCCTCTTTCAAAACAGCAATCTGTTGAATCGGCAGTCATTACTCTCGGTTTTTCTCTTTCTGCCTCATCAATGTAATAAACAAACTGATTAGCTCTATTGGAGTTTCTATAAGTACTTCCAACTTTCAGGCCCTTTTTTCTCGTCCATAGAGCAAATGCAAACTGACTAATGTTAGCGTAACCTAGGTTTTACACAACTAAACAAAAATTCTTCAATAATTTCTCTCACATCCACATGTTTTTTGATCCATTTTGTTTACTTTTCAGGTACAAACGCAACCAACATCCGTCAGATCTCTGTGGATAACAGTCTGGGATTGTCAGATGATCTCGGTTTCCTGTTTGACAGTGAAGACGGTTGTGATTTCATCATTGCTGTACAAGATCTTAGTGAAGAAGCTGAATTGACTCTTTGTGTGCACCGTGTGATCCTCATGATGTATCCCGAGCTAAACATAACAAATGACACCAGAAACCTTACAGTTGATGTCAGCCAGACTTGTCAGTCCCATGTCTCTGCTTTGATCAGGTAAGTCTCTAAAATCGGTTATGCACATACAATAATGGGATAAACTAGAAAGTCTGATGTGTCTCTAGTCAAAAATAAAACAAAACACATTGGTATATTCAAATGTTACAGAGAAATGTCTTATTCATGATTGCATTCATATTATATGACCAGTGAGAGCAAGAAGACTTTAAATTGGAAGCTGATTCAAAGTTCTCTTGAAGAATTATAGAAATGTAGCAGTCTGAATAAGTGTGAAGTGATACAGACAAAATAACTAATAATTTACAAATGATTGGTATTTTTATTCACTCAGTGCAACACATGGCTATGGTGCTGCACCACCACCTCTGCACCACCAGAGGGAACTGTCACACATTTAGATTCCATAAACCTGCACAGCCTTATATGTACCTTCACTATTAGAATGTTCCATTCAGAAGAGATCATCCCTATGCCTTACTCCCTTCTAAGGGTTTTCCCTTTAGAGTAACAGCTTTAAATGGATTAGAGCAGGGGTGGCCAACCCTGAATTAAAGCATATCAATGAGCCCTTCTAAATGGAACATGCTGTTCAACATCCCTGCATAAGGGATCATGGAGGCCTGAAGTGTCCAATTGTACCCTTTCGAAATCTTTCATTTGCAATAACTTTTCCTAGTTGCCCATTTTGAGCACTTTGGTTTGAATTGACACTTTAATATGGTTGTCACTTCCAAGTGCCCTTCGGCAGGCAATATATCACATTTGGAAAGCACTGCATATTGCTGCACTCACTTTGCTTGTTACCTTTGCGTTGTTTGAAACCCATGATTGAGTATGTACTGTACTTCCGTGTTGCATGCTACCTGTTCCAATCTCTAGATTGTTTCCCCTCAACACTGCACTTGCACTGCAAGTCTCTACAGTCAGTCACCTGCTTCAACACATTAGCTTATTAGCAAAGACTCAGGACTCGAGAAATAGTTGTGTGAGATGGAAACATGCTAAATGTGCACTGTTGGAGGGGGGCTCCAGAAATGCAGTAAGGAACCACTGGTTTACCTTAGCCATGATTGCTTTCTGCCCACCTTATCTCTTAAGTCTCCTTAAGTTTCCTGTTTACCATCCCCGCTGAAAAATCCAGCTTAAACCAGCCTTGGCTGGTTGGCTGGTTTTAGCTTGTCGACCAGGCTGGTTTTAGAGTGGTTTTGGCCATTTTCAGGCTGGTTTCCAGCCATTTCCAACCTGGTCTTAGCTATAGTCAGGCTGGACAATGACTAGCTAAATCCAGCTAAAACCTGCTTGACTAGCCTGGTTTAAGCTGGACATAGCTGGTTTTGGCTGGGCTCCCAGCCTGGCTACGTTGGCCAAGCTGGTTTTAGCTGGTCATCTCCCAGCCTAACTAGCTAAGACCAGGCTGGAAATGACTGGAAACCCCTCTAAAACCAGCCTGGTTTGCCAGCTAAAACCAGCCTAGGCTGGTTAAAGCTGTTTTTTTCAGTAGGGTTATCACAACCAACTGTCCTGACCATGTCTCCATTTGCGCCTGTGTTTTGTCTTTGCAAGCCGTTGTACTTGTTATTGACCCTGTACTGCCTAGTGGTTCTAAAATAAATGTAGGGGCTGTCTAATGGAAATGGAGCCAGTAGTGGTGAAGAGCTGCAATCTGTAGGCTAAAGAGACTGAGGCAGAGGCAGGAAGCTGGAGTGACTAAGGACCACGGTGGAGCCGAGGAGGAGACCAAAGAAGCCAGAATGATGAAGTGACAAGCCACAGCTGGAAAAGCCCAGAGGAGGAGTCATGTGGACAACTGACCAAATGTTAAGCTGGAGGGAAGCCTGTTGGGGCTGATGGCCACCTTTTCCACAAGAGAGAATAGAGCCCATTTAAAGCTGATGGCCAGAGGTGCAGTCTTACAATCTGGAAAATCTGGAATATACTTTCCTAGAATATTCCTTACCACCAGGTGCAGTCGGCTGAGGGTGAGATGAGGGTCTTGCAGGGCAAGTGGAAACCTAGCTGGAAGATGTCTAGAGAGAAGGCAGGAGAAGGAGGAAGGACAAGTCCCTGATTTAACTGGATGAACAGCTGAGCAGGATCTATGATTCCCCTGAAGACAAAAGAGAGCTGGGCAGGATCTGGGCGTGGATGAGAGATTTTAAAAATCCTCTCCATTAGCACAGTCAAAGTTTAGCAGTAGCTCACCCTTGGTATATAGGAGTACTTGCAGGGCTTACCTTCCTACACATGAACTTTATGATCACTGCCTCTATGATACACAATGTTGCTTCTCACCCACCAGGTCAGACATCAACTGAGATTCTATCTCTGGGTTGTTGGCATAGTTAGTTTCTTCAATGCACACTGGTGTGATCCTCAAGGTGGCCTTTGGCAGTTGCTTCATGCACAATTTTGGCTGGCTGGGCTCTGGGTCTGAAGAAAGACAGGAGAGTTGGACAGTTCTTCAGCACCTACTCTTCAAACTTGGTGAAGCTGCCTTGAGAAATAGATGCAGACAAGCTTGCCAAATGTTCAGGAAGATGGTGAGATCACCCGATGCAGAAATTTCTGACAAAGGAGTTGAACATTGTGGATATCTATAGGGAAGAGAAGTTGAAATCAAAACTAAGACAAATAAAAATGGATCTTTTCAGCGTGGGCTTCTGTTACAGAATGTGTTCAGGAACTATAGTGTCAGGGTTTTGTCATTTAATGATTTTTTTTGCCATGTAATGGTTTTGTGTTGCCACTAGAGGTCCTCATTAAGTTCAATAACTTGTCATTGTTTTGTTTAGGTGTGTATATCTAGGTAGACCAATTTACTTTGCCTCTTTGCTTGGTTATTGCTGATCCTAGCCAGTGGTTGCTGTAAGTTTGCCTTGAATTATAACAAGGATTCCCTTCTGATGTTTTTGATGTTTATCATCTTGTGATTGTTTTGCTTTTTAAATATTTTCTGCCTGAGATTTTTCACCTGTTGTCATTTTGTACATTTTGGAAATTTGGATATTTTTTGTTTTTCTAATCCATCTTTTGACAATGTTTTGAGCTTTTTTTTTAATAAACACTGAAGAACCAAGTAGGTTCTCACTGTTGAGTTCATAGACCTCCTGTAACTCAGTGGTGGAATATTAAGACTATTACGGGAAACCGGGTTCTAATCCTGGCTCTGACACACAGATGATGAGGATAATACAATAAGGTGTTTATTGTAGCAAACAGGTAATCCTAAGACTAAAGCCTGGTTTATATTTCTGCCTCAAGTGACCTGAGAAATGTGCATTTATACTTCTGCACTGTCTTTGTTGGTCTGCATTAACACTTCCGAAACGCTAGTTGGCAGTGAGGTGTTAATGTTCCTCTGTGTCGAGTTTCTTCACTGGTGTTTTGTTCTTTCTGAACGCTTCCTGAATGTACAAGTGGCTCAAACTCGCTCATTTTGAGGCAGGAACCGGCAGACGTGGAACAACTATGAGGTAAACACAAAACAAAACTTTCCATTCGGAGCTCCTCCACGGGACTCCATACTTGTAAACAATTGCTCCATTGGGCTCGCGCCCCTCGAACAGCTCTCGGTCCAGCCCAGACTCGTCAGCCCTACCAAGCCGACCAATCACAGAGCTTGCGCTTTGCGTCGTTGTGGTGTGTAGTTAAATTTTTTGAGAGATGCACGTCAGCGACGCCGATGGCAATGGCGTAGGGTTATGCGTCACCGAATAGGCTGCGCCGTAGCATACGTGTGCGCTTGACGCAGAAGTATAAATCAACCCTAAGCAGGGAAACATACACAACACTGAAATGAAACAGAATAGAAACAGAGGAAACGGAAGAAATCAAATACAGAAAAAAAATGATTGACTAAACCAAGACAAGCGTGGATCTAATTGATTAACCAATTAAATAACGATGGTGGTAAACAGATCAAAAAGAAACTAATCCGGCCAGACATGTGACCTGATGAGGTTGAAACATCCTTAAAGAAGTTTTGTTTTGCATATTATTCCACTGATTGTCAGAATGATATCATGACACATTACGCAGAAGCTAATTATATCTTTTTTACCTCAGGTATTTGTACACCCATCAGATTGATGTCTCCGCAACATCCGCTCAGTGTCTCCATCAGCTGGCGTTCATCTTTGGAGTGAAGAAGCTCATGGAGGATGTTGGCAGGGTCTTCACTGCACTCATTCCTGAAGACAACACCTTCCAGACGCAGGTGTCAATGTACGAGTATGGCGTGCGCACAGGTGACCTTGTCCTCCAGGAGAACGTTCTCCAGTATCTTTCCTGGAACTGCGAGTTCCTCATAAGCTCTCCAGTGTGGAGCACCGTCTCGTTTGAGATGATGGATGCTCTGCTGCAGCGCTCAGACCTGATTGTGAAGGACGAAGCTGTTCTTCTTGAAGCTCTGGAGAGATGGATCCAAGACAAAGGTGACCAGATTAGTTCAGATAAACAGGTCAGCCTCCTGAGTCACATCCGCTTCCTCTTAATCCCAGTGGATAAACTCTATGACATGCAATTTTCCTCAAGTGCTCTCTATCAGAATAACGAGAAACTGTATCTGACTGGACTGCTCAGAGGATTTGAGTTCAATGCTCTACCCTTCTCTAAGATCAGGAATCAAATAGATAACGCAAGCAGTGAGTATCTACCCAGAATCTACACTGGAGATGAGTGGAGTGTATTTATCAATGACACAACTGTCAGTAGCCCGTATTATAATTATAATTACTATGGCCAAAGCAACAGAATCCAGACCTTTTTCACTTCTGCACACCCTAGTGCTCTTTACAAAGATCAGAAGGTCCAGTGGCAAGCCCAAGTTTTTCTTACTCTCCAGGAATGCTCTAACTATGGTGTTTCATGTAATACTTTGCCTGTTGCACGTTTTTATGGATATAGCAATCAGTACAGTTACTCCAACATCATTAGCTACAACAACAGGTTAATTCTTACCTGTAAAAATCAGAACAATGTCTTCCATGTGCAAGAATTCAAAAACGACGTGGTAGTGGTTCCAACTAACAGCAGCATGGTTCTGCCGAACCCCTGTCCAGATGACTACAACTTCAGATTTGTCGTGCGTCCACAGTACATCTGACTACTGTCAACTTCATATAATTTTTTTCTGGTGTTTTAATTAATTTTTTATTTTTGTTTTTTCAAATTAAAATCATGATTAATCTTCATACCGTGCACTGTAAGATAATGATCATTTTACTAATATGAGAAGGGTTAATATGTAATCATTTAGATTATGTCATGTAATAATTCAATATTTAGCCATAAATAATGTTTGGTTGTTTAATGATGCACTTAAAAGTAATAAAAATGATAATAGAAAATATGTGGTATATCCTGCTATTCTGTTGTCTGTTTGATAAGTGTTAGATCTGATACAACCCAGTCACCTTTATCCCTTTTGCTCGCTGCAAAAGTTAGGACTTACTCAACTTTTCAAGCTCTGACGGAAGCGTCAGCCAATCCGATCGCTGTATGCAAATACACCAGCTCAGACAGTGGCCTATTGCTAACTATTTTCATTGGCTGACGCTGCTGTGACGATTGCGTCAGCCCCAACTTCAGACAGGCCATCTGTCAAGCCTTGATGCTGAAGCTTCATGTGAATGGGCGGTTAGAAATGTAACAGCTACGCCCCATTCACATATTGCTTCAACGTCAACCCTTGACAGCGTCAACCGTTGTTACCAGTTTGCCCAGTGGCTCACTACATACGTTGCTGGCAGTGCTTAATTTGTAAATTACGAGGTCCCAGAACAGATCGGGGTAACAGATCCAACATGTAACCAGACAAGGGAGATGTGTAATAAACCAGGGGGGTCACAAAAGTGAAGAGCAAGGGGGACGAAAGTGAAGAGTGGGGGTGAGGGGAAAGGGGAAAGGGGGTTGTTAGGGACGAAACTGAAGAGGGGGGGGTTGTCGCAGATGTAAGTTAAGAGCGGGGCAGGGCAGGTTTGGGGGTGCGAGGAGGATCAGTAACGGATCAGATTTCAAAGTTGCCGGATCCGGCTTGTCCCAGCACAAGTTAAGCCCTGGTTGGCATACATGAGAAGCAGAGAGGAGTTGACCGTGACAATGGGGCTCAAGTATGGTGAAGAATGGTTCCAGAAAGCAGGTAAAACAAAAGGCAAAAAATAAAATAAACAATTAAAAAACAGCGTGAGAACGTAGGAAGAACAGAAAATGTGGTAAAAATCAGGCGGCTGCGAGAGCTTTTTTATTTCTGGATTGATTTTGAAAACACTGTCGGTTGGGTTTAGGGTATGTGGAGGATGGGTTAATCTGTGCTTTTGAAAATACTATAGGTTGAGTTTAGGGAAGTGGGTGGGTGGGGGCAAAGGTTGGTTAGTCAGTCGATAAAAAAAGAAAAGGTGTACACATACGCCATTGCCGGATTTATAAAAATAAAAACTGAAAAAAAAAAAAAAAACCTCCTGGGATGTATTTCGCAATTTCCAAAAAATGTATATAGGGGTACGTATCAATAATGAGCCTAGATTGAATAAAGTCGTCTCAGTTTTTTTTTTAAATATATATTAAGATTGTGTTGTTTCAGGTCAAATAAGTTGGAACAAACAATAAATGTTTTTTTTTTTTTTGGAGTGTACAATAATAGCTTTTGGATATTATCTGTAGGTTTGTGTTAACTCAATAAAGGAAAGCCCCTGTGAACATGTTTCCTTTGATCATAAAACAACCCAACAACTGTTGTAAACAAGTCTTCAAATCTGGACTGGTTTACTCTGGTATACAGATGAGAAGCATCCCATGTGTTTTACCAGTCCTGTGACTAAGCAAGTACATTTCCAGCAGAAGGCACAATGTAATATTGTAGGATGTAGATAATGCTGCTGTACACAATGACACATTTCAGAGAAAATATGAATGCATGCTTAGATTAGATAGAGCTTTTGTTGAAGGTTTAAAAACAAAAGTGTTGCCATTATAATGAGTCATGATGCTCATGTTGATGAGGTTGGTCTGAGAAATAGATTAAGTAACTGATTGTTGTGTTAGATCTTGTAATGTGTCTCGCCAGGCTCTTGAAACACTGTGAGATGTCTCACATCAAAGACATGATAAAACCACACTCACATTGCTGTTGCACAACTCTGGTCTTTCCCTGGTGAGGGCACTTTTTGTGGTCTGGAGAAGACATTATTTGAGTTATTTGTAAAATGAAATAACATGCCAACAGCTATACGCCACCGGTTCTTTATGTGCAGCAGGCAAAGACTTTTTTTAGTAGCACTTTAGTTTAAGTAATGATTCACACTATTAGCCACTGGCTTATATCCTGCCTGTTATTGAGATATTAACTGTTTATTAGCACTTAAAATGTAGGATCTTATTTTCAACCCAAGCTCATTCAGATGACGTACCCTTATTTACATTTCTGGAGAGCGGCAAATAGGTCACAGGATCTACTGTTTTTGCAGATTTTGTTTTCACGAATCCACCAGAGGCCACTGTGTATGCTTTTTCAGATCTCAAATTACTATAACGAGTGCTATTTGCACCTGCTGTTCTCACATAAATCAAGTCGACTGACTGAATTGACTGACCCACCCTCCTCCTTCCCTAAACCCAACCAATAATGCTTTAAAAAAAACATTGATCAGCGTCTATCCACTTCCCTTAACCCAACCGAATGTGTTTTCAAAAGCAATCCAGAAAAAGAAAAGCCCTCATGGCCACCTTATTTTATAACGTTTTCAGAGCTTAACACATTCTCACCCTGTTATTTACTTGTTTATTTTATTTTTGGATTTTGTTTCTGTCTTACCAGCTTTCTAGAACCGTTCTTCACCGGAATCGAACCTCATCATCACAGTCAACTCTGCTTTGCATCTCAAATCCTCTGACATAGGCAGCGAGCCACTAGACACTAGACATCATGTCGCCTCATAGCATTCGTTTTTAAAGACCAAATGCAGTCATACGTTCCTCTGGCTACATTATTCGCAATCTCAGGAAATGTATACAGGGCTATTTTCAGAATGAACCTATGTTGCTTTATACATCCATAATCCTACCTAAAACTAAACTACTAACTTAATAACTATTAATAAGCATACCTGTCAACATTGGGATGTGAAAATAAGGCATATGCCCACCGTAATAATCCGTTAAAACAGCTAAACGGTCATTAATATGTTTTATTATTATTATTTACAAACGAAAGAATAAATATATACATTAGCAGCAAATAAATTAACTTAATAAATAATTAACAGTTCAGCGTATTAAATTTAATAGCTATTACAATGAAATAGAATCAAGTTATTAAATCTCATCAACCATTTCTTCACTTTATAACTTTCACATTCTGATTAAAGAGCAACGAATGATTCTATGATCCTATTTATTTATTTAGATAGTTTTTTTTTCATTTGATTAGATTAAATAACAGAGGTGTCACTTTAAAAATGCTTTTAATTGCTTTCCTAATTTTTTATGCTCATTTAGGACAAAATTTGTTGTGTTTGAAAAAAAAAAAAAACACCAAGATCGACGTCTTTAAATGTTATTATTATTAAATATGTGTATGTGTCTGTTTAAACACTCACCCAAAACCCAGACTTTCGCTCTGCTTCAAATCGTGTGTACAGAATCTGTTTAAGAAACAGTGTCTATTTATCACTATGGAGCACGTCAGCTGACAGTCACGCACTGCTATATGACTGTTTTGAGGATTGCATATAAAGGGGCGACGGCACCTGTAATGAAAAGGAAGGGAATCCTGCCATTTTTATTATTAATTTCAGTGTTTTCATGCCTAAACAAAGCGAAAGCACAGAACAGACTTACATTTAAGAGCAAGGGGTGTTCCCTGGGAGAAGTACGGGAAAATACCTTTAAGGTATATTAGCGTGACAGACCTGTAAAATAAGAAAGAATCCCATGAAAACAGGAGGGTTGACAGGTATGTTAATAAGTAGCAAATAAGTCTTAGTTACAAGTTTGTTAATGGTTTGTTAGTGTCGTTAACACTACATAAAAATAAAGTATGTCTTTTTTCTAATAAAAAAAATTGATTTTGAATCTTTTTACCTTTAAAAGTTTTTTAAAGTGCATTAGTAAAATCCAAATTCATGCTTGTTAGCATTAATGCACCATGAGTAAACATGAACTAACAATGAACAACTTTATTTCTATTAAATAAATTAAAAAATCTTTATTTCTATAGCGTTTTTACAATGTAGATTGTGTCAAAGTAGCTTGATATGGAAGGTCTAGTAAATTGAAATGGTGTCAGTCCAGTTTTCAGAGTTGAGGTTCAGTTTAGTTCAGTTCAGTGTGGTTTAAATTTCACTGCTGAAAGCCCAAACGCTGAAGAGCAAATCTGGCGCAGCTCCTCAAGTCCCAAACCAAGCAAGCCATTGGAGACGGTGACAAGGAACAAACTTCACCATTTGACAAAAGTGAAAGAAAAAACCTTAAGAGAAACCAGGCTCAGTTGGGCATGACCATTTCTCTACTGCCCAAACTTCTTGTGCAGAGCTGCAGTCTAGCTGTCGGATGCTGGAGAACGCTGGATGTTCATCGTGGAGAACTGCAGGTGTGAGTAGGTCACTGGCTGGTGTTCAGGCTGGCCTACGGGATCAATACAAAGACAGTGAGTCTGTCACTGGGGTCTTTCATGAATCAGTCTCATGCTCTTCACTCTTCCATGAGTGACAAGTATGAATGCATACTGTCATCATTTTATTATTACAAATACACAAAATACATTTATTGTCACATTGACTAATACAACTTTATAGTAAAGTGTCACTATGGATATGTTTCAGATTTTATTCTTATCCCAAATAAATAATTTCGATCATTAAAAAGTTCACCTCAAGCTGAATTATTAGTCCTCCAATTTGAAAAGTTTTTGTGAATTCTGTGGTATATTTAAAATTCCCCCTTCTGTTGCCTTGGAGTACTGGTTGAAAGGATATTTGTTCATGATTGTGTAAGCAAGCAGTAATGTGAAAGTTCTAGAATGTGGTTTTAGGCTTTAGTTACTCATAGTTGTCCAAGGCAAGACGGAATGCAGACTTGCAATATTGATTTTAGCTTGAGATATACTGTAAGTACCACCCCTGTAAGATATGCCTTGCATAGTTTTGCCTGTAAACATACCAATGTTGTACAGCAGAAATCTATTGCAAATACAACCCCAAATCAGAAAAAGGTGGGACAGTAAGAAAAACACAAATAATAAAAATAAATAAATAAGTGATTTCTAAATATACTTCGACTTATATTTCATTGCGGACAATATGAACACAAAATATTGAATGTTTTGTCTAGTAAACTTTATTTCATTTGTAAATA